GGTCCTTCTATGTATATTCGTTATGTAGTAAGTATCTCAGTATATTGTGGTGGTGTTGGTGTTTTATTCCATGAGAAGAAGACAGAGGTTTATCTACAGATGATAATTTTCCCCCGGGGAGGGAGGTCGGCAATGAGAACGATAACTAGAACAAATGAAAGCTAACTTGGAAGGCTAACTTGGGATTTAGAGTAATGACTAGTAAACAAGTTTAACTTGAATCGCTGTTAGATATGGGAGGACATGTATATCAGTCATAAACATACTAGAGACGAATGTAACAACAACGTATACACATGATCGTAATACTGAGCTCTTGGGCAATTATATCAAGCCAATAGGAAAGCGAAGGGGAAATATGTATACATACATACAATCGGGGGGTTGCTGGACAGGGGGAATATCATAATAATACTGGTATACAAACTGAACTTCGTTCCCTTTCTTTTCTTCTTCTTTTCGCTATTTCCATGCCCTGAAGCTGTTTTTAGCACGAACAAGTATTGTCCTGATCTTTCTTCCCAGTGCATGCCATAACTATTATTTTGTTTTTTTCTCTTTGTAGGTTTGTTTTCAACATGTCATCAAAACGTACGTTAAATATACATTCATGCAAATTGCTCTACAACTCATCCTTTATCGCACTCGTCGGGGTACAACTGGTAGCCGACGATGCCGACGCAAGCAACGCGCTTGCAGCGGAGAGAGCATCCTGGAACCTTGACGAGGCATCCGCTATAATACTGCTGGCCGAGACAGGGTCGATGCTGGCCGAGACAGAGCGGATGGAGTATAACAATGCGTCTAAGCTTGCAGATGCCAAGGAGGAAACGCTGCTGAATTCCGAACTGGCTTGTTCGAGAATTGGCTTACTGGTTAGTGCTGGGATACTTGTTTCTGAGGGCTTTACGGAGCTGGAAATAGAGGTGGAGATGGAGGTGGAGGTGGCGTCGGAGGCAGAGTTAAGAAAGATGGAATATTGGTCATGGGCGAGGCCAATGGCTTCGTAATAACGCCGGCGCGCGTCCAGGATTATTTGTTGGCCTGGGACGGTGGCTTTGGTACCGGTGTCTGTGTCCGTGTCTGCGGCAGCTGCAGTGGCGCTTGCGATTGCTTTTGATAGAGCGACGGAGGCGAGTTCCAGGCTGGATTGGAGTTTTGCGGATGCGATTGAGAGAAGGCCATCATCTTGTGGTGGAGTGGGAGAGGGGATGGTGATGGCGTTGGTGATGGGAATTCTTGCGTATTCTGATGGGGCTTTGAGATGGGGTTCGAGGTTTTCACTTGCGTGTTGAAGGGAGCCTGGGTATGCGGATTCGATGGACGCGATGACGTGTTCATCTGGTGTTCCAGAGTTATGGGCGCCGGCAACTGAATGAGCCCTGTCATATTGTTTCTTGGCTTGGGAGATTGAGTCTGAGAAGGAGGAGCTGGTTTTGGTGGAGATGGTGGATTGCCCGGGTGGCTCCGCAGGAGAAGTAAGGTTTGTTGTTGTTGATGACGATGATAAAGTTGTCATCAATGGCTGCTGCTGAGACGATGGGCCATCGCTAGCCTGCTCAGGGGAATTACGGGAGACTTCTTCATGTTCTATGAGTTCAGCAGCTGCTCCACCCCAAACATTATCCCCAGTGCCAGCATTATCATCACCCACAAAGGGCTCAGGCTCAGGCTCAGGCTCGGGTCCAGGTTCAGTAGAGTCTGTTTCGTGACTGGGCTCCGGTGTATCTTGATCGGAAGGGTTAGTCTCGCTGGCTTCAGCTTCTGGAGCCGACGACGACGGATATTCTGCGGTATCTGACGTTGTTTTCGTTTCCACAGCTGATATGCTGTTATGATATGCACCCAACCCCATCGCCCGCTCTTCTGCTAGCACGAACTTCAGAAGCATCGCCCGTCCTCGTCTCGAAATCGTGGCTCGTATCCTCAGCTTCAATTTTCCATTTCCCAACCTCCTTTAGCCTCGTAAGTTCCTTCGCCGTTGTTTCAGCAATCGCCATCCCCCTTTCGACGATCTCATTCGCAAGGGACTTTGCATCCTCATAAGCGCTATGTTTCATCCCAACCACTCTAACCTCTTCCCGCCAACTATGAAACTGCTTCTTCAGCGCATTATATTTTGCCCAATCCTTGTATGTGACACCATCCATCCACGCCCATTTCATGCCGATATTCTGCAGGCCGAGATCGCGAATCTGATCTAGTACGTCAACTGTGGCGTCAGAAACGGCAGCCACCTCTGCAAAGAGCTCCCGGTTGAAATCCCTTAGCCACTGCCGGAGCTTTTGCGCAGATCCCCGAATAGCAAAGCCAGCTGTTCTAACCGCCTCCACCAACTGACTTTCCGCGTCGTCGCGATCTTGGACGCTGGATTCATTAGGAAGACCACGAAGGATATCGTTAATTTTAGCTTTTAAAGATTTAAGCTCCTGTTTCCCCACCATCTCCAACTCGGATACCAGTTCCTCCCCGAACTTCCGTGCGTCAAGTATGCGTCTTTCCACAAGTTTTGCGACGCGCTCGTCAAGATCCTCAACTCCTTTGTCCGCAGCGATTGCAAACTTCTCTTGCCATGTTTTTAAATCCGTTGCTATAGTTTCGCGTGCAAGACTCACTTTGTCAATTGATTGTTCGGGGTGTGGTGCAGATGACGAATATGTCGTAGTGCTGTAAGCTGATGTTTTTGGTGACACGGTAGTGGTGGGTAATGAGGCAAACACGGTAGAGGTAAATTTTTTAGTCGAACTGCATTGGATATTAGCAAAGGCACAAGATGTATTGTAGTCCCAAGTGCTTAGTCGAAATAACAAGATCTTGGCTCACCTTTCAGTTTCTTCAACAACAGCCCCAAGCTTCCTGCCTTCTCGATAGCCTGCAAGTTTCTCACCAATCCTAACTAACTGAGGCTCGACGTTCTCAGTGTAAAGCCCAACAATCCCAGGCAGCAGTGTCTCATTGATAAATATCAACAGCGATGACCATATCTTCTTGGCGTACGGATAAATTGTATTTACTGCAATATTGTATGTTGAAGAGCAGGCCTTAACAATAACTGGCTTTGATTGGGCGTAGAATGGTTGAACATATGACCGCCACGCTTTATCAAAATGTGTTACTGAAGCCCGATAATAGGGTGTTACTACCGTACTGACACTCGTGTAATACGGCCCTATCGAATTTTCGTATATGCGGATTGTGGAGTTTTGTAGCGAATAGAGGTGAGGTGTAACTAATGCCCCTAGCTGGTGTCGAACATAAGAAGTACCCTTCTCAAAATGGGCAGCTCCATACATGCGGTAAGTTCGAGTTGCGAAATGCACGGCTGGGATGTATATTTTCTCGTTGAAAGTGCGAGCATAGGGGCGCACGGTATCAACATATGGAGCTCCATAAAATTCATAATATGGTGTTATGTGAGGCTCGATGTGTGACCGTGCGATCAAGTACGGTTTGCAAACCCAAGAGGAATTGCTATCCAACTCCTGTGGAGTCGACGGACAGTGGAATAACGGTGTAAGTAAAGCGTACCATATCAGCAACCTATTCCAGAAGACAGAGATAGTTAGCATTTCGTAAAGCTGGCGGGCAACGGTCTTTGGTGGTGGTTTCTACGTTTCTACGATGGTTGGTTCATACCGTACAATAACCCCTAGTGACCACCGTGCAAAGCCAGCTGGCCGTTTCTGTTCTCGTTTTCGAAGCGGCTGTCCGTCAACCTGTCCATTCACCTTCTTTGCAACCACACCATCCGCTGCTATCGCCATCCTGTGTGGTGGATAACCCCCCGCTCGACTGCTTGTTTGTGAGCCGAGGTCTCCTGACCACTCAGCAGGACTGCGTGTCTTGTGCTCATATATCTTCGAAGGAATAGCTGTGAACAACCTGTGGCGCAATACAACATGAGAGACACCAGTTCTAGAGCTGGTCGAAAAGAAAAGGTAGACAAATAGATAAATGGTGTCGAGGAGATTATTCGAGAGATTAGAGCAGCCTATGGAGGTCCATAGGTTGTTCAGATCTTGGTATGGAGCTCTACGGACCAGTCAGCAGCTAGCCACGATCAGCTGGAAGTACCGGAAGCACCCACTTCACAGCTACCTACTACTTACGTATAGAACAGGGAAAGATAAACTTACTCTCAGAAGTTGCCTAGACATTTGCTATAAGGAATATTGTCCCGGAAGAGAAAACGGCATAACTGGACAGAGTTGTTGTGATGTGTTATCTCCCTGCAGCCGCGCGAGTTTCAGCATTTTCTTACTTTTAGTTATTTACTTACTAATGTGACTGACCACTCAACGCACGTTATACCCTATGTTAATTAACGCGAAAATGATGCTCGCAGTATTAGTTGAATCCCTCTCTTAGGAAGATGCAAATTACACTACTATTGCTAATAAATATGAAATTCACTGAACTGCTCTATGTAATGTGTTACCAGCTACTATACTTGCAGAAAAATCACAGTCTTTATTTATCAAAAGAAGCTTACAAATTCTTTAGAAAAAAAGTCCTTCTTTGCATATTTAAATTCTATTAATTCTTATAGAGAAAATTATTATTAATATTATTCTTCTTTTTCATTGAGGTATATTTAGTCAAAGATTATGACATCTATCTAGTTATACTAAAATATAACTATTTTATAAATCTGATATATATACACAATTTAAAATAAAATAGAATATTAGAAGAATATTTATCAACTTTTCATATAAATCTAAAAAGCTAAACTATAGACTGATATAAATAAATATAACTTTAAAGTAAAATTCATAATACAATTTCATATTGAGTAAGATATCTCAGTGAGTGAGACATCAAAATTACTGTATTTTAATTAACTAGATTTTAATCTGAAATATCTATACTTATATTTCTCTAATTAAATTAAATTAAATTACACTAGATTGAAAGTATTTTGTTCTTTTATGATCTGATAAATTGCAGTTGCTACACTGCTATGATACTTCTAAGCATAATCTAGATTCAGAGACTGTAGACTTAAAAAATTGAATAACAGACTATTCAACAGATACAGTAGATGAAATAATAAAATTCTAAGCTTTTTGTCTAATGAGATTCTCTGCATGTTGAATCTGATGTCTAGATTTAGTTTACTTTTGCTTTTCTATCTTATTTGCATTAAATATATTCTGATATTGCTTCTTTAGAATAGTGATACTGATCACTTCATGTTCACAGATTTTGATAATTTGATCAAAATCTTTTACAAAGCCTTGAGGCTAATCTTTTACTAAGTATTTGATTTTATTTACCTGCTGATGTAATTGCTGGAGATTATTAGATGTTTGAAGCACTTAGAATGTGATTGAATTGCTAGAGCTACTGCATAAGAAGAAAGAAGTCTGAAGTTAAATATCTAGCTGTTGAAGAACATAGTTAGATTGAAAAAGCACTATTTCAGTAGCTTTAAAGTCATTTTGAATAGTTTGCAGTTTGAAAACTTCAGTATGTACTGCAGAATAAGTTTTTAAGAAATTTATTTTTCAAATAATATTAAATTCTAGCTACATTCACTGTTGAACTAGACTCTTATATGCTTACTTTAAAACTGTAAAAATGCTCACATCTAGTGACTGTAAGAGATATAATGGATGAGATAGTATGCAAAGACATATAATAGTATTATTCTTGCAGATTTGATTGAATTCTGAGATAAAATAACTACTGTGCTCATTCAAAATAAGAAAACTATAAGTGTCAACTCTGCGTAAATTTGCAGTAGAAATAAACAGTTTAGTAAGTCATTTGACTTCTATCTCATCTGTAGTTCAATCATTAGAGTTAACATTAAGTCTCTAGCTATCTAGAAGTCTGTCAAATCAGTCATTCTGTAGAATCTGCTCTTTGAGAATGATGTATAAGAATAGAGCTCATTCTGACATATTGACTGCCTCAATCACAGTCACTTATTCACAATTTCCAGACTGTAGAAGCTTTGTCTAGTCATAGTGCTTAGCATTAGTGATGATCTTAATAGTAGCACATAGTCTTATGACAAAGCCAGTCTCATCAAAGTTGTAAATATTCTCTGATAGAATTCTATATTCAGTAATTATAATTTTCAAGATCTTAAATCAATTCTATATAACACTGATATCTTTACATTTGACTCATTCATGATTACAGCATCTGAAATAGTGACTTTGAAGCTTCATATAGCATTTAATCAGTCTTGAAATCCAGTTCTTGCTGATCTAGAGAGGAGAGATGGTAGAGATGATAAAATTCTATAAGATAAAAAAATAATTAGTCATATTCTCAATAAATGCTAACTAAGAGGAAAATTCTCATTTAACATAGTTCAGCACTCATTTAACTAGTCTATTCTCTTCAGACTGAGTCAATTTGTGTGAATTTAAGTGTAAATTCATCTATGCAAATCTGTCACTTAATCAATAATCAAAAGTAGAAGATAAAATATCAAATAGACATGCAGCTTTACAAATTGAGAGTTTTTCATTATTTTGAATAGATTTTATCATAGTTCAAGCCTCTTCTCTCTCTCAATAGAATTTAAAGAATTTTTAATACAAATTGATGATATAATTATATGTTGAAGTGAAAGAGTAGTTAAATTAGATGATATTTTGAAATGATGTCTTGCTTGCTGAGATGTCTTACTTAATGTAAAATTACATAATTTATTTCAACTTTATAATTAAAGCTAATAAAAATACATATAAATTTTAAGAAAGTAGTTATTATTGAGTGAGAAATTTTTAAATTTTTTTAAAATAATCAAAACTTTTTAGAATTTTCCAACTTATATTAATGATTTATATATAACTTTTTAAAAATTTTAATTATTAACAAATATATATTCAAAAAAACTTTATATTTTAATAAAATAATATAATAAATAAAATTATAAAATAATTAAAATAAATATATTTTGATTTAATTTAAAAAATTAATAAAAATATAAAGTTAAAAGATATTAAAATTTATTTTTCTCAATTTATATATATTTTAAAAAAATTAAAATAGAGCTAGTAATGAAAATTAATACTAAAACTTCAAAAAATATATAAAAATTATCTCATAATCTTATATTTAAAGAATATTAAAAAATTATATTTTAATAAATACTCTAGTTTCTAAAAAAAAAAAGAAAATATTTAATATATAAAAAAATTAAATTAAATTAAAATTTTTTTAATAAAACATAAAAACTTTTTTTATAATATTAATTAAAACTTAGATAGAGTTATTTTAAACTTTATATAAAATAATATAAAAATTAAAAAATTTTTTTTATTAATTAATTAAATATATTTTTTACTTTAAAAATAATTTAAAAATAAAGTTTTTATTTAATTAAATAAAAAATAAAGTATTTTTAAAGAATAAATTTTAAAAATTAAATAAAATTTTTATTTAATTTATACTATTAAAAAATATATTAATTTAAAGATTATTTTAAAAAATTATTTTATTTTATTATTAGAAATTTTTTAAATATTATTTTATTTATTTTTTATTATATAATTTTTTTATAATTTTAAAATTAAATTTATAAAATAGTTAAATTCTATTATAATTAAATTAATATTATAATCATTAAATATATATCTTAAATGATGAAGAATAAAATGAAAAAAAATTTATTTCTATAAGTTTTTTACTAAATTAAGTATATAATTAATTGTATTTTTCATAATAAATCTGTCTAAATATTATTATTTTAAAAGAAAACTTTTATGCTATAAGTTCTAATCTATACATATATATCAGACTTATAGATGGTCAAATTCTAGTAAAAGTAGATGAATGTCATAGTCATTGAATATTATATATCAAGTAAATAATAATAATAATAATAATTTATATTTAAAAGCTTTTAATGTCCTATTGTGATTGTTAGTTGAGCTAATATTCATCATATTTATCACAGGATCTGTGATAAAGCAGGCTGTAGTAAGTATTAGTGAGCGAAGTATGCTGGTAATAATAATAACACTAATAATAACTAATAATACTGGCGATTGGGGGTTCGTTCTAACACTAATTGTCCTGGTCACGTGTAGGGCAGCCGGGGCAACGGCTAATCCGTGTAGGCCCAATAATAAAACTTGCGGGTCTTGCGGTTGCGGGGCCAAAGGTTAATCCGTATCCCCCAGTTGGAATTGGCCCTTAACGCCGTTAGCACGTGATTGGTGGCAAAATACTCACCCAATTTTTATCTCCGCTTGTTCTTATCAATCAGAAAGAAAACTGTCAGCCCCATCCTGCATCCGCCGCTTTGGAATGTTTCTTTCCCGACACAACCCCAACTAGACGCTATCTTCTAGGTTTCACATCGAAATCATATATTCTTTTTGCACCTTGGTTTACGCTGCTCGACAACAATGTTTCGACGAATGTTCACTCTTGGGCCAAGGGCATCGGCTATGTTAAACCCTCTACAGGCCATTCGTCCCGCAAACCTGAGCATAAATAGTCGAAAGTTCGCGCCAACTGCTGCCTTATCTGTTCGAAGTTATCACGCAAAAGATATGTTTTCCTTCCCGTCTTGGGGCCTTGTAGTTTCATTTCTCGACATATCTCAATTAAGTGATATTCTGCGACCCTCAAGCTGACCTTCCATGCACTGCTTGATCATTATAGCAATCCCCGAAATGTCGGTTCCATGTCCAAGGGAGATGTGGATGTTGGCACAGGACTTGTTGGCGCCCCAGCTTGTGGAGACGTCATGAAGCTTCAGATACGCGTGGACAAAGATAGCAATACTATCAGTGACGTTAAATTTAAGACGTTTGGATGCGGCAGCGCCATCGCGAGTTCAAGCTACCTCACGGAGTTGGTTCGTGGAATGACATTGGAAGAAGCTGGGAAGATTCGGAATACTGAAATTGCAAAGGAACTGTGTTTGCCACCCGTAAAACGTACGTGATCAATTTCATAGAACCGTCAATGTCGATTATGGTCTCATCTAGCTGACCTTTCGGATGCAGTTCATTGCTCGATGCTTGCGGAAGATGCAATTAAGTCGGCCATCTCGAACTACTATACGAAGAATCCAAAGTCCCGCTCCACTGACCTGTCTGGAGCCACCTCATCCATGCCTAACATTGACGCCCAAAAGGCGTCTACCGAGTCTACAAGTGCTCAGAACACAGCGGGTTAAGTGTTGAAGAGAGACAAGATAAAGTTAAAAGTTCATCCGTCACAGGACTGTTTTCCTTTGGATTTTCATTAGGCTGGCGTATTTCCCTTCTTCTATTTCCTTTGTTTTTATATGCTCATTGATACTCTGATGGCATGGCGATGTCCATGTTTTGTTACCCACCACACTCGAGTCGTCAAAATTGTATCTTTTGAAAGCTTTCGGCTTTTGCATTTCCTGTATCACTTACCTATCGTTAAGCCAATTAGTGAAATCATAAATCACCATCGCACCTAAAACCTGGGTACGATTTTACTACTATATCTTGCTTCCCCGAGTATTGGAATAGGGGAACTCATAGACTATCATTCGTGCATGTATAATTTGCGACAGGGAAGAAGGTGGTCTGTTTAATTAGAGCATTCGACTCTCAGAACTCGGGATTTCGTTCAAATGTTAACACCCGTAGACTATACTTTGCTCTTGTGAAGACAATGATATGTAGGTATAATCGTCAGTTTTGAGGAAGATTCCTCATTGATTATAAAACTGCGATCTGGAGTGATTTCGCAACCTAATTATTTGCCTGTAGAATCAACTACCGAATCTATCATAATCACCAGTCAAGAATCGAGAACGCCATTCATTCCAAGTCTCCCATCATATCTTCATCGCATTCGCCGTTCGAAATCCCCGCCATTGACCTTTCATCCCTACTGCCGACATCCGTACGCCTTGGAGCTTTCCGCATGTTTTCTATATATTCACCGCTCAACTCTAATTTCATATCAGTGCCTTTCGCAAGCCTCTCAAGTGATGCTAGCTGATATTTTTGTATATTTAGATTAGCCAAGAATTTCGATTCAGGCTGATGGTTGAGGTTGAAAGTTGCTGATGCGAAACGAAGAACAGAGGGCATCGACGGATCCGAAGGCTGTATTAAACATGCCTGTAGCTGGCCTGAAGTAATCAAGCCTACCACAAAATCATCCGTTAATTGGGTGTCGGTCCCTAAGTAAGACGATATATCCGGTGTTGATAGTGCAGCGAAAGTTTTTTCAAGTTTCACGACAGAAAAACGCTGATACGCAAGCAAGGCTTGTGAAACTAAGCCTATGTTGTTATCCTAGTGAGGAAAATGAAATAGTAAAGAACGCGGCAGAAGTTAGCGATAAGTCACAGGTTTCCAAGTAAACACCCTTTAAAGGCATTTTATATCACCCACCGAAAACCAAACTGCTTCACCAGCAGAAACCTCTGCTTGTAACCTTCGAAAGTCCCCAGTTTTGAAGACATCAGCTAGAGAGTCGTAGGGTTTTGCTAGTGATCTGAATACTTTTGCTGTGGAGGGTGTAACAGTTCTTGGCATAGGGAGGGACTATAGTAAATCATAAAGCATTAGCGGTTGGGATATGAATGACAATTCCCCAAGTATGTACATACCTTTCCCTTTTCCAAAAGGCAAACCAAAACCCATTTCTTGTATGCATCTACCATAATCATGCTTAATGAGTTTGTTGTAGGTGCAGAAATGACTATTTCAAGGAAATGGATGGCGTCGTCCCATTTCTTGAGGCCCATATAAATCATCGCACCGTACAGAAAGTACTCTAGATAAGATCTGTGGTTTATCTTTCCGGACAATCCTGAGGAGGCAGTGATAAAGGACATGCTCGACTCATGTTGTTGGCACGGAAGGATTTGGGACCTTTTAATAAATAGGTTGTCGGAAGTAGTTGGGAAATGACAGAGAGGCTTATCCAGAATATCGAGTGCACAGAGGTAAGACCTCGATAGAAGACACAGCCGTACAAATGTGGTATGCAATGATGTGAAGGTGGAGGACGATGGATCAAGACGGAGTATAGCGTGTTTTAAAGGATGAAGAGCCACCAGAGGCTTCGAAACTGTAAGTATAAATCATAAAGTAATATTGGGGTGGGGTAGCTTACTTGCGACGAAATCTCGGCTGATTTCGCAACAATTTCAACAAGATTTCGGAATTCCTGGCCAGCATACCTTACCTGGATGCGATCAAACACTTTCAGGAGTGTTATTGACTTTGACCATAGCTCCCCTCCCGGACGCCATGCAACTGGAAATGGCTCCTTGGTATCTTCCTGTGATACCTGGTAGTGGGATAGAAGAACAAAAATGTAAGCCAGAGTTTGACGTCCTGGATCCAGCAACTGCCCACAACAAGCCCGTTAGTCAGGTATATCATGATATGTGATTCCTTTTGTTGCATTCTGCGGGGGAGCTTGTAAAGAGTGATAACTTGAAAGGAGCGAGCGAACATCCAGAAAATTTCCCTTTCCAGGGATATGCGCAACCAACTTCTGCGAAGGTATGCATTTTAGCTCCAAATAATGACCCCGTATCTCTTTATCGTACTTCACATCAGATGTTGGACGTCCTTTCGGCGAAGGTGTGGGAGGGAAGGAAAGTAAACGAGAGAGAATTTCCGCCATAGCGAAGGTGAGGGAGAATATGATTTCCGACAGCAAATCGTTCACGATATCGTCCCGTGTTAGATATATAACTCCCTTAGAACCTATTCGACCATGCCTCAGCTAGTGCGGGAACTTGAAGTGATCGATGGTATCGAAATTAGGTGGATATTCTGGCTGGTGCCAATGCGTGAAGGCAGGCTGTGTCCTCAGTTAGTTTGAAGTTATAGCTGAATATATATTTGCTGGTCAACGCCAACCAATGATCTATCCTGGTGGTGGACCATATTATTTAGGTAGTTAAAGGCTCCAGTTGATCACACTACAGGAGATCGGAATCCTTGAAATTCAAGCTGCGTACCTTTGCAGTTCAACATAAGCTGGTAAAATTGATATCAGCCCACAAAAGAAGAATGGAAGCTCCAATCTCCCAGAGTGGATATGAGGACTATTTGTTTTGCACTGTGGTTGTTGATGTTGATTGAGGTTTGAGGCTGGCTGTCCAAGATCAGTGTAAGTGTGTTTCACGTGCTGATAACAAGACCATCTGGACATTGGGGCTCGGTCGTCGCTTGTTGGAGGAAGCTCTTAAAGGAGTCCAAGGATTGGGCTATTTATTAAATATCAAAGTGGGATTTTTGTTTCTCTTTTTCACCACAATATACTTCTACATTTACATGTATTTTTTAATCCCCTCATTCAATTGGAATTTTACTTGCGTCCCGAAGTATCGCCAGTTCCGTCGTTGTATGTCAATCGCTGTACGCCAACAATGTCGCTAACCGATGCATCACCTGTGGAGGCGGCAAAAACAGCCTCTGAGTCCTCGCGGCTTCTCGCAACGCTCTCTAGTTCAGCGCGAAATGAGGCTTTGGACTTGATGTATGCCTCTCTGTCGAAACAAAGGGATGCTATCCTTGAAGCAAATGCGAGAGATGTCAAGGCCGCCACTAAAGCAGCGGAAAATGGTGAACTGAGCTTGAGCATACTGAAAAGGCTGGACCTGAGTAGACCTGGGAAGTATGAGGACATGCTGAAGGGCATTCTGGACGTGCGGGATTTGGAAGATCCGAGTAAGTCCTAGATATCCCTATTTTCGCTTTTGCTAGCTTCCCTCTGTTGTTCCCCGAACGGTGCTGAATGAATCTATGGGTTCGATAGTTGGAAAGGTGACGCTACGCACTCTTCTAGATGACAATCTCATTCTTGAAAGAGTTACTTGTCCGATTGGGGTATTGCTTATAATATTCGAGGCACGACCGGAAGTGATTGTCAATATTGCTGCCCTGTCAATCAAATCCGGAAATGCGGCCATCCTGAAAGGTACTGTGATGTTATGCAAAACCCATTGTTCACTCAGAGGTTATCTCTTTTTCTAACGCCAATTCCAGGAGGCAAGGAATCGACGGAGTCTTTCGTGGCCATCTCAAATATCATTTCGGAATCCATATCCAAGTCGCAGGTCCCAAATACTTCAATCCAGCTTGTTAAAACAAGAGATGCCATACTTCCTTTACTAGCTCAGGATAAGTATATTGACCTTGTTATACCTCGCGGGTCCAACGACCTAGTTCGTTACGTGAAGGAAAACACCAAAATCCCCGTTCTCGGCCATGCTGATGGCATCTGCTCGATATATCTTCATTCGGACGCCGATTTATCAATGGCAATAAAAGTAATAATTGATGCTAAAACTGGATACCCCGCAGCATGCAATGCTGTTGAGACCCTTCTTGTTGACCAGGATGCTCTGTCTACCCTATTACCGGCTATTGCGGATGCCCTACTGGCTAAAGGCGTAACCCTCCGTTGCGATAAGCCATCAAAGCTTGCTCTCCAAACAAAACTCTCGCCGGTGCAGTCATCACTCCTACAAGACTCAACGGAGGCTGATTACAACACTGAGTTTTTGGACCTTACTCTTGCGATAAAAACGATATCATCAACTACGCCCCAAGAAACTCCAGTCGCCGTCGCCATCGCTCATATAAATTCACATTCCTCGAAACACACGGATGTCATTCTAACCTCCTCGAGGACTATCGCAGAACGTTTCCTGGCCGGTGTGGACAGTGCTGGTGTTTATTGGAACACGAGTACCCGATTAGCTGACGGGATGAGATATGGGTTTGGAACAGAGGTTGGCATTAGCACTAGTAAAATTCACTCGAGAGGACCAGTGGGTTTGGAGGGGCTGACTATCTACAAATATTTCATTCGAGGCAATGGCCAGACAGCAGGCGATTATTTTGAAGGCGAAGGCGGGAAAACCTGGAAACATCGTAAATTGACTATATAATTCCAGTAGGAAGAGGAGTTCTTTTCTGACAATGATTGTACAAAATCCTTATAATTGAAAAGCATGACACATATCAATCAATATGCGCATGCTCTGTTTTAATTCCCCGGCCCATGTGCTTGCAAGAACCCAGCTGGTAGATCCAACCCGCGGATTTACATGTCCTCTTCGCTGGATTGGAGAGAATTTCCTCTACTCGTATAGGCATTATTCTCTGTTTCTTTGCGTTAAAAAACTGACTAGCATTTGGACGTAATGAAAGACAAGGGAGAAAAGAAAGGCTCAGGAACTCCAGGGAGGTTAAGTTGTGAAACATTATTCATCATGGGCTCCTTCAATCTGACTAGAAATTTATAATGGCCAATTTCACAAGCCTGTCTCACGCGATTTGCTGAACCCGAACAAGAACCCAAGAACCCATAGATAACACCCTAAACCTTGAAGCCACGCGACCGTCTCCGACCACGAGCCCGCTCGAATTTCCGACCTTTGCTCTGGACATATGGTTTCTGCACACGAACGAAAGCAAGTTAGCAAACTAGGAGTCCAGACTCGCGGTATATATATCAGAAAATCTCTCTCTAACCTTTCCACTGTGTGGGCCGAAGCCAAAGTGTTTTACAGCCTCTCTCGCGTTCTTGGGACCCCGCAGCAGCAATGTGTTGGCACCAGTTGGGGCTCTGAGGGCCAGCTGGTCCAGAGTCAAGGTTTCACCGCCAGCCTTCTCAATTCTAGCTCTGGCGGTGGAAGTGAACCGAAGAGCAGCAACGGAAATCTTTGGGACGTTGAGGAGCCGGTTGTCATCGGTGACAGTACCAACAATAACGATGGTCTTTCCCTTGTTCGCTTCTGCAGTTTCCTTGGTCCCAATGGCGCTCACAATTCGAGAGAGAGATACCGGGGGGCGGTTAATACGGGACATGAAAAGACGTCGTAGGACAACCTTGTTGAAGCTGGAGTCGGTACGGCCTGCGGTTTGTTTTGTTCTTAGAAAATACGCAAAATATTATGCTATGGCGTTTGTCCCCTTCTGCGTCAAGAGGCAAGGATTTTGCGGGGTTATAGCTTACGGGAAAGGAAGCGATACAGCTTCACGAGAAGCAGGAGGTAGACATTATCACTCTTGGGTGCCTTGCGGTGGGAACCCCGGACATGGTGGCGGTCCAAATCGATACCTATCAACGATTGACGACGAAACCTGCATCAGCATTCCCTCCTCATGTCGCAGGTCATACAGGAGAAATTCGAAGCGATCAGAACCGTTCAACAAGGGATACAGGGTGGCTTACCCATGGCTGCTGGATACCGTTGTCGAAAGCTGACTTTTACACCGATGCGAGAGTCGACGACTGCAAAAGATGATAATGATCTTGGTTGGTTTGATTATTTTGAAGCCGCTGAGTGTGCGGGAGGAGTAGCCCTACGCTAGCCGTTTCGGGACGCCCTCCAGAAGGGGAAGGCGGTGTGCTGGGCACGACGCAAATTTCGCGCTAGTCCTAGACAGGCGGCTCCAGGTAGGCAGTAAACGTGTTTTGGCGCCAGTGGACAGGGTATGAACATACGGAGTATGACAATAACTATGAACATAATGATGTTCGTGGAACATAGGTATTCTATTACATTTGCATCGTATTGATTAGATGATTAACCGGTCTAATACAGGCTCTTCAGGATATCATTTCCCCTTTTGCCCGTCTCTAAAATGAAGTCCAACTCCAATAGCTTTTAAGATCATCAGCGCAAGTAAAGTGTACAGAAAATTGGAGTGGCAGAAGTAGCAGAATATAGGGGAAAAGGGAAGAAAGGAACTAAGGAAACTAGTGAAACAAGATGAGGCATCAAGGAAGACCATCTAATAGGAAAAAGTGCACGTAAAGCATGAAAGGCCCCCGACACATCTGGTAGCCCGCAGTGGGCCAATACACATGTACAGTACATGCAATCAGTGGCTGTTGGCCCAGCATGAGGACGAATGCCGGGAACAGGATTCTCAACTGTTTTGAAAACCCACCCTTATTCCTAATCACTGTCACCAAGCTTGATTAAAAAGTCGCGGGTCAGTTCATAGCTCAGCCAGCTGCTCGCCATGCTAGGGGCCACCTTGAGTAAGTTCGGAACGATTCCTTTATAGAGGCCCCTGACTCCCTCTTGCTTCATGATAAGCCTCACTGCATCCCAGATGGAGGTGTATTGGTATCCCAAGCCAGACATCGTATTGACCTGGAATCTTCTCCGGAGGACATCGCTGTATCGGTTGGTTAGATATAGTTGACAAACTAAATTGACGGTTATATATATATATTAAATGAAGGAAACAAGGTCTCACAATGGATATGTGCATGTCTGCGCGACAGCACCTGATATTGCACCGGCCAACAGCTTGCGGTAAGGGCTAGGGTTAAGATCTCCCTCAGGAGTTAGGTACTTCCGCACTGACTCATAGGTCATGAAATTTAACCCCACCTGCATATAAAATTAGCGAGGATCCTGTGTGACCAGCTCGATAGTAGAGCGATTTGGATAACTTACATAAGGGGCGACGCCGGCAATGGTGGGAATGATCCCACGATAAAGAGCAAGGAAACCACCTTCATTACGGTACATCAATCGTATCGTCCCAAATATTCCTGGTAACGGTTGTTCTGGCCCCTTGCGCAGTTCGCGAAAGGAAGCAGACTGGATGGAGAGCCTTGTTCTTACGATATCTAACGGATAAGTAAATGTAACAGACGTGATACCAGCAAGGCCTCCACAAAACAGACGACGCAGAGGGGTAAGTTCGCCACCCGGAGTTGGCTCAAAAAACTGGACTCCATGTTAGCAAAGCGAAGAAGGAACACAAATTGTTGAAGTAAGAACCCCTCAAAAACGAGTGTCATGGCAACTGGAATCAAAAGGTAAATGATTGCGAAAACGGCCAACTCGTCAACTCTGCCGCCGGAGATCTGAAAGGGCAAGGTCGGAGAAATAACATCAGCTTACCCCTTTATAAAAGCTATAGCTTCCAAACTGGACGGCAGAGTAGGGGACTATGCGGATACAGTTGGTCCCGTTGCCCCGCATGAAACCCTTCCATCCCTCTTCTTTGCCTATCTTGACTAGTGCTTTCCATATTGACAGTTTGTATTCTGCTCTGCCAACACTCTGGATTTGAAGCAAGATCTTCAGTCGCTCGAGGGGGGAAACGATGGTCCGCGACACTGCACCAGCTACCCCACCAGCGAGAAAAGCGGCCGTCACAGGTTCCGATAACCTGTCCTTGGTCTGCTGAAGAAGAGAAGTAGTTGGCTGGGAAAGGGATTCCTGATTGCAGTTAATACGAAGGAGCCCAAGCGGGAGGGAAAAACAAAAAAAGAGCGGTGGTGGCGGGGAAAGGAAGGCTTAGATATGGGAAAGATACGAAGGGTTAAAAATATGTGATATTGGATTATACCTTGATGTGAGATTCAGATCCAGGCGATGGCAAAGGCGTCAAGCGCCTCTCCGAAGCTTCATTTCGAGCTCCGTCCCTTGGACCGAGCCTCATGGTGAGGAAGCCTTAAAAGGATGCGAAACTCCCACGGTAGCTGCGAGCTCCCTTTATCTCGCATCAAGCCAAAGCACGTTGGACGAGTAACTCTCTTCGCCTGAGCGTCCTGACAAGCTCTCTCATCAGGAAAGGAACAAAAACAACGTTCGTTCGGGTGGATATTTGCTAGTGGCTTAAAAGGGAGAATTCCGGTAACAAGAGTCTTAACACTGTACAGTCCATGGAAAAGCGTTTGGCCGGCTTGTGCGTGTGTTAATCGAGGGTGGGATGGATATCAGAGAGAAATGTTGAAAGAACGCAACAGGTACAGCAGCAGGAGGAGCAGGAGGAGGAGGAGGAAGAAGAAGAAGAGGAGGAGGGAAGGTAATCTGCAACCTTTTTTCTTTTCCCTTTTTATTGGTTTCTTGGGGGTGTTGATTTATATATGCCAAACAGCGTGGTAGGAGGTATATATTGCTCCGTACCTGGAGGAGCGCGGGTCAAGTTATCAGAAACGTGGTCCGTAAGCCAGAGACCGATGAAGGATCCCACACGGACACAACGAGCAAATGATATTCATCAATAGCAATGGCAAAGGAAGACGGTGAGGGCGTTGCTGGGAAGACGGTAGTAGCATAGATGCGTGGACTGGTTCGATCCGGTGTTTCTCAGAAGCCTTGGGGTTTTTTTCGGATACAGCAGCAATCATCAGTTTTGACTGTGTTCTGAGGTTCCAACCCCGACTTGGGCCGTTTCTGATGGAGTCACGTGTTATGGAGACTTAGGGTGGACATTATTAACTGGTTTTAATACAACAATACAAAATTACGGAGGAAGATTTCAATCACTATTCATAGAAGCGGTGCGGTTCGGCGATCGTCACATAGATTCTCCGTTTCAGATACTTGCACGCACCATAGAAAGATTGAAGCAAAACTTCTGGCTGTACCTAACTAACTACTGTAACACTAGTTAGTTAGTTACCCAATAGTTAGTTACGGGAGGGAGGGTTGATTATTAACTGTGTGCCCAAGGCCCCAGGTAATATCTACATATATGTAATAGGAAGCAAGGATGGATACGATGGATACCGTACCTTACCGTACCATAACTTACAACTTTACCATACACATACGCCCCTTGTTTTCCTTTTCCTTCGGCTTTGGCTTATTTTATTTTCTTTCTTCCTGCTGCTGAACAAACAACTTTCTCTTTCTTCTTCTTCAACTTCATTTTTCCATCCATTTTCATCCATCTCTTTCATCTCTTTTCATCATCTTCTTCTCCCCAACGTCATCCAACTCCATCTCTCCATCTCTCCATCATCTATCCCTCTATTCTCATCATCATTGTCCTTTTGTCTTCCTGCCATCTAACTCCTTTTTATCTGTTCTGCCTGCTATTTTCGTTTTCTACCCGTCTCTTTAACTCCTAGTTCATTTGTCCTCTTCCCCCCTCCCCAAAACAAGGGCCCGCTACAACTGTCTTTTGCACACTCTGTCACTTCACCATGTCCCGAGGTGGAACTACCCTCTATGTCACTGGTTTTGGCCACGGCACTCGAGCTCGAGAACTAGCCTACGAATTCGAACGGTATGTCCCATTCGTCGATCCTCCCCTACCGATATCCTGCGGACGGTCCTCCCCCTTCTCCCGTTCGTCTTGACTCGGAAAATTCGTGATGTCGATCTCTCTGCTCCCTCCTCTCCTCCTCCCCTCTCTCTCCCCCCCCCTCCCCCACCACCCCACCACCCCCCTTGTTACCTGGCTCTGGCTCTCTCGACCGCTCGGCCTCTTCCGGCGCTTTGTTCCTGAATCCTCCTGAATCCTCCTAAACCTTGGAATGGCTCCTCCCGAGCCCTCAAAATATCATCTTTCCATCCTCCAAATCAGCCGTTTTCTAAATCCGTGTTTCCTCAATCAATACATTTCTAAATCTCTATTCGCGGTAACTCGGGGTCAAACATGTTATTGTGTAACGCGCTAACCATCCCAATGAAGTTATGGCCGGCTTGTCCGTTGCGATATTCCAGCCCCCCGTACTGCTTCCAGTCGCCTGTAAGTTCCTTTCATTCCGCTTAAAACACCTCGAGATCCCCAGCGGAACCTGCTGACATCATCTACAGTTTCGCCTTTGTCGAGTATGAGAGTCGTCGCGACGCTGATGATGCATATCACGAGATGCACAACAAACGTATCGGCCGGGACGACCTTCTAAAAATTGAGGTTAGTGACCTCTGATCCCCATAGATTTCCCGTATCTCAAACATTTAACATCTGAATAGTGGGCCCGTACTCCTCCATCTGCATCCTGGCGCTTTGATTCCGGTCGTGACCGCCGCCGTGACCGTTCTCCTCTTCGTCGCCCTCGCTCTCCATCACCCCGACGAGCCCGCGGAGAGTTCTCTCCTCGCAAGGATGAACGTCGCGACCGCGATTTCGAGAGACGAGACCGCGACCGCTCCCGGAGTCCAGGAGTGCGAGACCGCGAGCGGGACCGGGACCGTGATATGAAGGAGGATCGCGATAGACGTGAGGAAGATCGCGAAAATGGAACCAATAGTGATGATAGGAAAGGTATGAATCCGATGTAAAACAAAAATCTAATGGGTTGATTGGATCAAACCCGTACTAACCATGTTCTCTAGTATCCCTGGATTCTCCCACCCCTGCTCATGATGAGCTGGATACTGCTGAGTGAATTGAGATTTGCCATCCCCCGACCAAATAAAAATTTCGTATGTCTCTATTGAACCATTGATGGCGGTAATTTGCTCTGCAGTAAACCTCTCACCCTTTCCAAAATCGGAGCTGTATGATGGCACCACGACTTTTATACAGCCCACCCGAAAGCCACTGATCGTTTCTTAATCGGTACTTCGTTACCATATGTCAAGATAACTAGCCCTGTTACCCACGTTTTGCTCTTTATCCTTTTTTCTTTTTCTTTTTTTTTTTTTAAAAAAAAAAGAAAAGGAAAGAAAAGATAAAAAAAAAGAAAAAAAAAATTACGTTTGCTTCTTGTTCTTGGGTTTTGTCGCTGCTCCAGTTTTCTTCGTTACTCTTCCACTCAGCTAAGAAAGTGTGCTTGCTATGGGAGGGAACCTAACGTTGACGTGAGCCACTTCGCCACTTCGCCACTTCATGTGAGTCAAATCAACACTAATCGCGGAAGATCGTTTTGTCTTTGTAACTTTGATTATTTTCTTAAAGTGCCGGTTTAAATATTTTATTCCAGCTATTCCAGCCCGTATTATCGACTTTCAATTAACAGATAGTTGCCTCAATTTGAAAAGCGCCGATTATTCTCTTTATATCTAAAAGTCACTGTGAATCAGTTAATGTAATTCCTCCTGGATCTTATTAAGTCCGACTATTTAATATTCTCTTGTATTCGTAGTTATAACCCATATCTATTTCAAAAGACTTTTGCTTCAGTCCTATTGATTGATTGTCTTGTCTCACTGGCAACAAGGGCTAAGATAACACTCCCACAGCACACACATCCCCGCTAACCTACACGCATTAACCAACACCGTTGAACAACAGTAAAGCATTTATTACGGTAACTACCATAAGATCTTGGACATTTGGAGAAATAATATTAGACTGAACTTTACAGTTGCCTATGAGACAAGACCTAGGTAATTCGAATTTCGCAGGCCAAAAAGTTCATCGACAAGTGCAAAAAGAAAACGAAGACAAGGTTTCAAAACAAAATTCAAAGATAGAACCAAGAGCGAGAAATAAGGAGAGCAAGACATGCGTCATTCCAGAAGCTAATCTAGCCAGTCATACATATACCTTGTTCCGTAACAATCTCACCAACTTCAACGCATGTACCATTTTTCACTACATCTTCTCATACGTAGCCATCAGAGAACCTATATTTGTTTTTATTAGCTCTCAAATATTACACATGGCAAGTCGTGGCTGAGAAACAAAACAATTATATAACTCACCAATAAAAGTAGTAACAAGCCGCGAGCGAACTTGACATATATCTTCAGGGACGAGCCAGATAGTCGCGCCCATCTTTCGTGCAATGCTGATGCTCAACTTCGCGTTTGCATAGGCATCCTCATCCGTGCGTCCAGGGGTAACCAGGTCGTAATCCACATAGCTGCTCTTCATTCCATTAAGAACGTCAAGGAGGAAAATACCAGACCCTATAGACTGGTCCTTGAAACTGCGTATGGTTGAGCTCTTCCCACCACTGTGCGACATTTCATTCGCCCATTTAATCATCTCATTATCAGTTATTTCGCGCTTGCCCATCTTCCGGGCAAGCGAAGACAGAGTGTTGGTGATATCCTTACGCATTAGCTGCCATACGAGCCCGAGGGTCAGAGTTCGCTGCCCATCGGTAATATCGGCTCCCTGGATACCAACAAGCGAAAAATGGTTTTGCTTTCCAAGCTCAATGACGTAGTTTGTATTTTCCACAGCCTTGAAACGCATGAGTTCGCCACCGGAAGCTGAAGGCTTGTTGACATGTTTCCAGTTGACGCTTCCAGGGATAACTTTATCATAGGCCTGGAGAAGTATTGTTCCGTCACGAAGGTCATCAAACAGTGAGTTGACGGCTGGTTGAACATCCAAGGAATTTAGCCAAAGGGTGAAAACGCGTGCTTCACGTTCACCCTCAGCATCGAAGTCTTCGACTTCGAGCTTTTCCTCTTCTGTAATAGGATCTAGGCCCGGATGTGTATTGAATAGGTTCGCAACGAATGCAAGGTTAAGTTTCGGGTTGCCTGCCACCAATGAGGTAGGTGTCAAAAACTTGCGACATTCGAGCAGGTCTGCATTATCCAGAACCTGATTCGCGCGCTGGAGCAAGTCGTGGGTTTGGAGGGGCGCACGGGAGCAGATATCTGGAGCTAGCTGATTGAGAAGAATCGTGTAGTTCTCTCCGTCCTTCACGTCGTTGGAGAAGTTGTTGACTCTGGGGGATTTTCGAAGGGCTGTTAGCAGCGTACACGAGGTCCATCCATTAAAAGAGAGTAGTGTACATACCTTCTATCCCATTTCGCATTCTTCAGGTGATAATTGAACCATCGTAGCAGAATTTGCTCTGGTGGAAGCCGAAGAAACTGCTCCAAGGTCTCATCCTCCTCCAGCAGCCTGTAGAGTTCTGGGTGTAGTTTGATGTCGATTTTCCCAAGAAGACCTCTGCGAATAACCTGCCAGATTAAGCCCAATATGAGATGCTCTCGAACCTCTATTATATCACCGCTACCGATATTGACTACAGAGCAGCCAATGCCCTTTGCGGAATTAATAACGATATTGTTGTTCTCAGTCATGTGAAATGCGTTTAGTTGCTTTATTTTCTTTCCTGTACGGTTTAACACTCGTTCATCGATAGTATCAGGAACGGAATCATTGATCAATTTTGCGAGCACCAGCCCATCCTTGCATTCATCAAACATCTCGAATGTGTCCGTAGGGAAAGGGAGGAGATGGCCAATGTCTGGATCTCCATCAAGAACAGCGTTGATATGTCTTGTGAACTCTGTCCGTTCATCTTCATTGATGGTATGAGTGACATTTGCGGATGAGCCTTGTACATGAATCTTCCCGCCAACGCTACCTCTGGAGACGTGGCGGCTCGCTGGCGTGCCTGGTGGTGCTGCGGAAGTTGATATTGGCCCAGCAGCAGGCTGGTTTTGGGCAGATGAAGTATCTCGAAGTTTTGCTATCAACTAAAGTTGGAATGATTTTTTTTTTAGCAAGAACAAAATGCAACCCATGGGTGAAGAGTAGAGCGTGGAGAAGGGTACGCACATCAACGTAGTCCTCCAGCTCAACACGCCTGGAGCTGTCGAGCTCGACCTGCTTTAGCGCTTGGCGAACAACGTCATATGGCTGTCTTTCGGACTGCTGGGTGGCCTTGATAGCTGTCGCTTCATCAAGGTAGCCCTTATCATCCACGTCTAGACGTCGGAAAGCATCCTGGAGGGAGAATATTTCGGACTGCTGGAACTGGGGATATTTCCTGAGGCAAGTTGAAAATAAAACTGTTAGCACTTAACTGTGAGAACCCTGAAGTATACACTCCCACCTTTGGAGTTTGATAACATTCATCTTGGTCGATAGGGTGATGAGGTTGCTGAAGGCGTGTATCTCCGGGGTTGTTGGATTGGCGGGGGGGTAGTTAGATATGAGATTGTGGAGCGGTTTCAGCTGCCACGGTCCAACAGTGCGTATTCCGAAAACGACAAAACCTCAACAGCGGGCGCGGACACAGGATACAATGTTGATGGGGGAAGGCTTTAAATTCTCAGAGAGCACGTACTCTGTAGTTGGAGCAAAGGAAATCCTGTGGACTGACAACATATAAATATATGCGCCAAATACGGCGGAGTGAAGGAAAGCCGGAAAGTGGCAGGTGGTTACGTAATTCACTTGTGGTAATCTATGTTCAGGCAATACCACAACAGGCAGCAGGACTTTCGCCCAAAATATTGTATTTTACTGTACCATACGTGCAGCTACGTCATTATTGAGGGCACATCCAACATCCCACAGCCGCATGTAACGACCATACAATTCCAACTGAAGGCAGCAGAGTTTTGTTTGAGCTGCTTAATATACACAGGATATACTACAGGTTTGCTACTGGCATCCTACCTTACTGCTCCTGGTTCGAGAACATAGCCCCAAAAGTGTGATTGTTGCTGCACAATAAGATCAAGTTCCTGACAGCTTGCCTCGTAAGCCATATTCGTTTACACGCTGGCACACTATTATTCCGCCTTCTTCCCAGGTCAACGCTATACCCGGCTCTGTCCCATCGGCTTGGCTGAGCTGCGGCTAGCTATCCGGGGGCGTTGGGGACCGATGCACATTCCAGAGCAGAAAGCTTCCAACTTTGGCACCGCCTCTCCGCGGAACATATCCCGAAGCTCAACACCGCAACCCAAGGCTGCCGAGTCTGAGAATGCGAAATCCGGTTTGCAGAGGTCGCAAGGCCGCGACCATACCGTATCCCATATCCACCGCATCAGCGCAGCTCGTTATCCAAAAGACTGCCCTCCTCTAAAACCTAGGTGGTTCTACGCGGTTGATATGCCCAAGTCAAAAGAGTCATTCTGGGGGAAAGATTCAAACGCTCCGGCTCCTAAATTTCAGGCATCACCCAAGAAATTTGTTCCCTTTTCGATTCGAGATTCTCAGTCTATAGAGGCTGCTTTCCAAAATCTTGCAGACCAAGAAGATGCGGGCAATTCATCCAAATTAAATGGCGTCTCGACAGGTGACCCTCCCCAAAATGTCAAGGTCCCTGTCAACGAAGACTTCTTATTCGATGTCGACGTTCAGAACAGAGAACTAGGCCCTGCCTACTGGTTGGGACCGATATATGAGGTTAGACGTGGCACCTGGTTCTTTCAGGAAGGCTCAACGCTTCGCCCGTGTGATGAGAATCTTGCAACTCAGCTGGAGGAGGGCTATTTGAAAGTGAAACCTTGGAACATCCAGCGCGAACGGGGTCCGAGCAATCCATTACCAAATACGTCGCCAAACTCAGATGACACTAAAGCGGAATCGAACCCCAGTCCCGACCAATGCAGCACAGAGAGTATGGATGCAGCGAGAAGCGGAGCGGAGTCGACTTCATCTCTGCCCAATACTGTAAATCTAACTTACCGTCTTTTTGGATCCTATATGAACAACACCGTTGCTTACCAGGATGCGTCTACCGTGTGGCTTATGTCTGATGATTTCATGTCCCGGATGAGTAATACCGTATACCAGCGACTAGGTGCTCCTGCGGGAACGAAAATCGTCCGCGGGTATTCGGAAAGCAAGAAATCTAAAGAACCAGCAGACGGGAAAAGTGGTGAAATAACCCATAAGGACCTTAATAAATCGAGCAAGCGACGATCGGGTCCCGCAGGTTCTTTGACTTCGCTGTCTATGCTAGATGACAAAGTTCAGGAGCAGCCGCTTGCCTCCTTGGAGCGTCAGAGAAGCCCACTACAGCGTCAGATGTCGTCTCTAACTGGGGAACCGCAAGATGACGAACAACTGGAAGAGGAGGCTCGAAAGCAGGAGGAGAAAGAGATGGAGGATTCAGGAGAGGTTGAAGGCGAGGACGGAGAAAGGGAAATTGACCATCTTATTCTTGTTACCCATGGAATTGGCCAGAGATTGGGATTGCGCTTGGATAGTATTAATTTTGTGCACGACGTTAATACACTCCGGAAGACCTTGAAGAGTGTCTACGCCGCGTCTCCTGATTTACAGGCTCTTAACTCCGAAGTTGGAACAGAACTGAAGAACTGTCGTGTCCAGGTCCTTCCTGTGTGTTGGAGGCATTTGCTTGACTTCCCGAAACAAGGCCTCAAGCAAAATCGAAAAGAACTCGATCTTGCCGCCGCTGATATGATGACAGCTGAAGATGAACAATATCCTAGTCTAGCTGATATTACGCTGGAAGGGGTTCCTGCAGTCCGAAATCTTATCACAGATTTGGCGATGGATGTTCTGCTTTACCAGAGTGCCTACCGAGAACATATAGCGGGAATCGTGCAGAGGGAATGCAATCGCATATACAAGCTTTTCAAGGCTCGCAATCCTAATTTTAAAGGTTCTGTCAGCCTCTGCGGTCATTCCCTTGGCAGCGCAATACTTTTCGATATCCTCTGCCATCAGTCAGAGAATTCCACACATGTCAAGTCGACGAATCGCGGCTCCCGTAGCAGAACATCCGACGATCATAAATCCGAATCTTTTCCTTTGGACTTTGAGTGCTCTGATTTTTTTTGCCTTGGTTCTCCAATTGCCCTTTTCCAGATGCTCAGGGGCAAGACAATTGCGGCACGGAAGTTGAGAAGTTCAAGGCTTCCGCACGCACCGCAGAACCCCATCTCAACAGAAACATCCCGAATGGACTCGAGCGGATGCCCTAATTTCACGAATTCAGTGTCGTCGCCAAAATGTGATCAGCTTTTCAACATCTTTCACCCATCCGATCCTATTAGTTATCGCATCGAACCATTAATATCCCCGGCCATGGCTGCACTGAAACCTCAACCACTGCCGTTCATCAAGCGTACAATCTGGAGCGCGTCAAGTCAGAGTCTCACCAACATCAGTACTCGAGTTGGTCAAAGCGTTGGATCGCTTTGGTCCAACTTTGCCTCAGGGGTTGCGAGCAGTCTGTTAAATCGTAGCCTAGGCTTGAGTGAAGGTTCTAAACCCCAACAGACCGCTGGAGGACACCAAAAGTCAGATAGTACAGGATCCGAGTTGGATAGCGAACAGCCAGAGACGACAAGCGGCGATGTGGCCAACACGGCGAACCGATCTCAAAAATATCCGACCCTCATTGATGCGAATATCGAAACGCTCTATGATGGATTTCAGAAAACCAGAGGCTCGTCGATCGACATATCTGGTGGGTCCTCCTCATCTTTTGAAGAGATGGAGGCTGAAAGCCGCGCACGGAAGATAAGGCTTGAAGAAGCAAAAGTTCGTGCATTGAATTCCAATGGACGCGTTGACTACAGTATACAAGAGTACGATATTACTCCCCGTTGTAATTTTGTTATACAAGTTGCTTGATACTTTCCATTTTTGTTAAGGGTCTAACTTACTAACTGTAACGACAGAGGGGCATTTGATATATCCCTTATTGCCAGCATTGCCAGTCATCTCTCATACTGGGCTGATGAGGACGTTTGCCATTTCATCATGTCGCAGATGCTATTGAGAGCGCGTAGAGGGCGTAGAGATGGTAAATAGTAATAATAATAATAATAATAATAATATAGGATCGCCAGAGCTGGCATGACATAACTACCATTTATATTTTGGTCTTGTGGGGTGACAGGAATCGAAAGGTCTCAAATGACATGAGATCATTCGACACGATATAAGAAGTGTTCATGACAGCTTGTTCTCTTGTACGGCAGGCTATTCCCAATTGCCCCCGCCTGGGAGGAAATGGAGGCGTACATACCGGGATAGTTTTACAGCGTATCCGCAGTCATCCCCATCTGTCACTGTCAACTAGTTAGTTAACTGCTGTCTGGGTACATACCTGACGTAACTATATCTAACTAGTTAGTAGTTAATAACCCAAGAAAACATGTTTCCCTTTGGGTAGATCTCTCTTCCGTCGCTATACCAATTGCCAGCTACAAAGTTACGCACACCAAGATAGATATCCGGAGGTCATTTTTAAGCCCGAGTTATAAATTATATCTGATAACTTCTGTGTAAATAGATGTATTAAATTAAGGCGAAGGCATGGCCACTAACTACGACATCCCATGCTTATTTACAGCTCTTTATTCATAGCTAAGTTATATACGTAGTTTGTTATGCCCAATCATAAACTCCAGCAGGACGAGGTAACTCTAACGAAATACCTTCGAGCGACCCACTTGTCCTCCGCGGTCAGTTTGTCCTTGGGGCGCCCGAGTCAGTTTTAAGTTAATCTGTGTCATAGCAACGTCATCATTTCCGCCCAACCAAGTCTGCCTGCTCTGCCCATGGTCCGATGAGAAACTAGCAACCCCATCGCGGTCTCGTTATTTGCCTTCAGTTTACTATATAAGCGCTTCGAGGATGCTCTCTCCTCCCCAAGTATCGGCACTCATCTACTCCAAACGAAGAAATCCCATTTCCAAGTACCCTAACTATCTCTCTATCTGAACTGTTCCCTTTTCCTATAACATTTACAATGGCTATTCTTCACTGTATGTGTGCCATATTGCTTCCCCGTCCAATTCCACCATGCCCTCTTTACCAATAATATCTCTTGCATTCATCTCTTCGTTCATCCGAATGAGACCTATATACGAGACTAGCCGTTTTACTGACCCATCCAACCCCAGATTTCCCTCCTGTTAAACCCTCCGCCATCGCCTTGGGCACCGTCTTCAACCATGTTGCGTCGTTGGGTGTCCTAGCCCCTGTATTCGGGGACACCTACCACCGTGCGCAGGCCGCAAACTCAAAAGAAGAATTCTTCAAGTCCAAGGAAACTGCATCAGCCGCAGCGGCATGGAGCAGTTCGTTAGTCGGCAGCGCTGTACAGACCTATGGCGTCGCTGCGCTCATTAACGCCACGGGAACGTTGACTTACAAGGGTGCTGCGTACTTGGGGAGCTTGATTTTCTTTGCTAGCTCCGCCCCATCTGTGAGCACTTCACATTTTCGTTACACTCTTTTTTCGAAGCTGCCTGCTTTGCTGTTCGGCGACTAACTCGAGCCCTACACAGTTTATTTCACAAGTCGTTACGGAGAAACGGCCGTTGGATACTATTGCAGTGGGCGCCGTGGCAAGAGTCTTCGAGACTGTTGGATTGAGCTTGTTCCTCACCTGGTGGGGCACGAGAACCAACCCCTTTGATTAGAGGTTTAACTGGTTTATGTCTCCTGTTTTGCTTGATTAAGGGAGGAGGGGAGTTCAACTCCAAATTTGTATATTGGGTTATGTATAAATAAATGGGTTGCCTTGAGTTTCCTTTGCTGCTACATCACAGGAAAATATGTCCTATGTGTATGTCTTTTGTAGTGATGCCGAATGCAGTTCGGGGCATTGCATATGGCTTTTTCAAATAACAAAAAATACAAAGAGAGAAAAAAAATATCATAATTATTATTGTAATCTGCATTTGGCTCAACAGTTATTAAATACCATATATTCTCTATGTCACAAAACAAATAGAGACTGAAGAATTACATTCTGGTAAAAGAGAAGGTTCTGGGCTTGTCACTTTATCTGTGGTGGATTCGCATCAAACTCTGGGGAGAAGAATACAGTGAATTTAGTTTTCGGGGATGAAAGAAAACTCAACAGGGGCGAGGACAATATTTTGGGGAGGATTGACAAGGAGATGAGCAGATCAGAAATCAGCGCAGGGAGCGACATTGTCAGGTCAGGAGGGTTGTAATGCAAGAACATCCACCCCAAGAATTGAATATGCATTTATTAACACGAAGGAAAGTGTAGAGAGGGTACGGTTCCAGCTTCAGTAACTTTTGGGTATGGTTGCCTTCGGAGTGGAAGTCACTTTAGTTTTAACCTGTGGCATTGAATTGAATTGGCCGTCCCTCTTGGATGCCTTTGCAAACTGCCATGTAATAATTTCGGGAGAGCTTAAGGACTATTCGTCTGCCGCTCCTTGCGACACGGTTTCATCCTTTTTATTATACATGGGAGGAATAGATATATCCCCGGCCTGGATTTCCGGGAGGGCGTGCTAGAAGACTTAAGACTTCATGTGGTTATCTATCTTACCAGTTTGCGAAAGAATGATGAGAAGCTACAGCATTGAGGGATAGGAAAAGAATATTCACCATGTTCATTATGTGGTCAGACAGGATGCAAATCATTCAAAAGTCATCTGAAACGAAGACATATATTCAACTTTTGAAGCAGGAGGTCTTCATGGAAACACAATTAGCACAATTGCTAGCACTCTGAGAAAAATAAGCATTGAAAATTGTGTTCATTTGCCTCTATAATACGAACTAAACTGGAGTTGGCACAGAATTATACGAAAGTACGGCATGGAAACCTAGATAGTTCGTTAGCGGAGCTATAACTCATCCCTTCACAGAGTAGGCTTACTGCGGTGGATATGACTGGGCAGGAGCCATCTCATATCTCGATACCGGGTTCAAGTTGGCAGGCTTAGGTGGCAACCCCTGAGGGCCCAGCAGACCCTCCACTTTCTTCTCCTTTTCAAAAAATGCAGCTAGGCCATGTTCCTCTCCCTTTTGCTTCACTTCCACCAGTTGCTGGGCTCCCGCATCCCCAATCTCAAGTACATCTGACTTTGGCGCCGCCTCACTCCCCACCGTGAGAAGTCCGACAACATCCACCTGCTTCAATACACTTGGGCGGGCGTAATTTCTTCGGGTATCCCGTTTCCAGTATGGGTTGTCCGCAATGTCGCCAGCGGGAATCGTGACGGGGTCATCGTAGGACTGTGGGGAGAGAGCACCCGGGGTAGGATTGCGGAATTGCGGGTTCAATGGGACGCCATTTGACCGATTTGGGTCGAGGGCAAATATCCGTCGCAAAGTCTCCCAGATACCGGTGGATTGAAGGGTGTATTTCTTGGGAATTCAAAAGGATATCAGCATAAGCGGGTTAAGAGAGAAGGAACGGAGATGCTCAGCAACTGTGCTTTGTTACCTTGTTGACAGGAATAGCATTCGCGGACTTTACCGCTCTCAACATATGAGTTGGTCGCATCCCAGAATAGCTGTGGCAGGCGACAAGATTAATGAATTGGATGTACTCGTGTATATTTCTGCTCTTTATTTTCAACGTCGCTGTTGGACGGTTTGGAGACTGATGGCGTTGCTTATGTCATACATAGCCTGGAGGATCGTAATTCCGACCGACAGACTGCTTCTTGGTGTTGGATATTAATCAAAGAGTGGCCATCAAAACCGATACAGTAAAACCGTTATAACAATTTAATCTGGGAGGCTTATTTAATTCATTATATCGCTACATACAGGTTAAGTGTTCAAAGTACGCCTGAATATTCTGTTGCTGCTGATTTTCAAGCCTCCATGCTCCTAACCTTCTCTTATAGTTAATTAAGCTGTTAAATTAGACTTTGATCTCCCTGATCCTGCTGCTTCTTATTCAAGTGAAGTCTTTTTGTCAAATCTTTGAAGTTTAATCTATATACGAGTTTTTACAGTCATATCTTCATTCTCATCACTTCTGTTATTAGAATTTAATTATGCAATAATGTTCTTTTCAATAGCTTTAGATATTATACAGCTTTCTCGGCTAGGAATGAAAAAGATTTGAATATTGATTGAATTCTAAGTAGTTAAGTTAATGTAGAGTTTTAAAAATTATTGATAATCTTTAATATTGAATTATTCTCTGTCTTTAATAGGGTAATAAAAGATTTATTAAATAAAATTTTTTAGCATAATATAATTAAAATATTTATTATAATAAGAGAATTTTAATCTAACTTATATTTTAATAATATATTTATTTTTAAATATTATATATTTAAATTGATAAAATAATTAAATTTTAGTTTAATTAAGTAAATATTATAATCATTAAGTATATATATTTTAAATAAATAATAAAATAATAATCATTTTAAAGTATTTCATTATAATAAATAAAGTCTAAACTTTTTAACTATTTGCATGTTAAGTGTTTTATTTATAACTTTGAATATAAAGTCTTCTAATTATAAAAAATTGAATTGCTATTTACTTTGATGTTAAACTACTTTAAATGATCTCTTATAGTGAAATAACTTCTACCTTATCAAAACAGATAAATAAGAAATTCGGAAAATAGAATGGAAAAAAAAAAAAGATTAATCAATCCTCTCAAATTTTAAGCACTCTGCAGCTGGTAAACACTACAAGAATTATTTTAACTTAAAAGGCAAGAAATAAGATTAATCTCTAACTGCTTCTCACCAGCTTCTGAACAGCATCTACAGTGGCAGCCGGTCCACCTGGTTCTAGAAGAAGAACTTTGCCTTTCTTGCTCACTACAAATACTCCGCGAACAGTTCCCTTGGGCACCTTCTTCAAACCGAGAGCATCAATCAAACTGGCGGTTGGATCACAGAGCAAAGGATACGGGAGATTCTGCTTGGATTTGAAGTTCGCGTTGGCTTTGGGGGAATCGGTTGAAAGTCCAAAAATCGACAATCCTGTGGATGTAAGGTTGTCGTAACGGTCGCGGAAAAGACAGGCTTGGGTTGTGCCTTTAAATTCAATTATTTATTAGCCCGGTTCAGCAGGTTTTGGAAGGGAGATTATATATATTATATATGCTATCAGAGAGTACTCTCATAATCATCAAAGAGTGGACCACCCCGCCCGCTCATGTCCAAGTCAAGTTAAAATCTAGAAAAGAGCAATGATCGACTTACAACCCAGTGTTGAGGCGCGAGGATAGGTAAACAAAACAACACCTGAGGTGCTCTGCTCAATCAGAGACTTCAGTGTTGTTGGAGTTCCATCATGAGTCGATATATTCACTCCGATCTCATCGAGGTTGATTGTGTCACCAACTTTCGGTACTTTCCTCAGTGACGGAGTCTCAGCCGTCGTCTCAGTCTTCGTAAGCTCTCTTGTGGGTGCTGAAGCAGTAGAAGCAGTAATATCAGATTCGATCGGCGTTTTCTTGATTTTTTTGGCTCTGATGTTTGTCTCGACAGGTTTAGAAGGCTCTGTGAGAGCTTTGCGCTTCCGCAACTCAACCATTCTTTGTAATTATTATGAAGGAAGAACTGAGAGAGGCGAACTTTATGAGAGATATAAACATAGAGATCAGTATCTAGAGTCAAAGCGACATAGAGGGCTAAGTAATACATAAACTTGGATGTTTAAGTTTCCATCTCACAAATGGTTTAATGTTACATTAAAGAGAAAAGACCTTGTTAGTGTAGTGAATACAAAGACACACTGCAATGGTTCCCTGGTTTAACCAACTAACTAGTTAGTTAACTAACTTAGTTAACTAGACTTCATTCTTCTTACCAAGAGAATAATAGGTTTTGGCAGGATGTTTATGTAGTTCAATGGTCAAAACCCCACCCTTTATCCCTCACCCGTACGCCCGAACTTGGCGCATGATTAAGGGCCGTGGCTGGCAACGAAAGCCTACCAATCAGACGTCTCTGAGGCGAACAACCCCCCTTGATCTGAAAAAGCTCTACAGAGAGAAGATGTAAAACAAGCTGGGGCTTTTATTCAGGGCTTCATTTAGAGCACTAATTGATAAACAATCTGTAGTTTACAACAGCTCAAAAAGCGCTGTCAGGAGTTGTAGCAAGTCTGCGGAGAGCTATTGGTGCAGGGCCCCATCGAGGGTTCACGTAACTAAGCTAGGCCGCATCTTAGGAGGGGCCCGCCTTGGCGTTGAACCCCCATCTTCCGCACAATGAGCACAAAAGTAAGCACAAGCAAAGCAAGTCAACTAGTTAATAGTAGGGCATTATTTATTTTGGGTCGCTATTGGGTTACTTACTTGGTGGATCTGTTATTCTCGACCCTTAAAGCATAATCAGGTGGATTTGCTCGAATACTAACTAGCATTAGCATGCAACAGATAATTACGCCTTTTTTGTGTTTTTTTTTTTTTTGAATTTTTTCGATCAGTGAACTTCTTCCCCACTCGTTGTGAGTCGCACGCCGATAACTAACTACCCCGGTCCCGCCTCTTCCGTAGTTACCTCATAATAATACCCGAATATGCCAGAGCCGACAGTGGTGGTGACGGCGACCTCTGCTCTACCCCCTCGTTTCTATGAACTAGGATATGAGGAAGTGGGAGAGGAAGAAGAATCAGGGGACAATGAACTCAGCCTCAAGAGCTCCCTGCTTCGTAAAGCGAGGCGTTCACACAGCCGCGTGCCGGGCTTGCGGAAGATTCCGCTGCCGGCTCTGGCAATTATATTGTTGATTGCCGGGGTTAACGCAATGGTATGGGTAGCGGTCGGTATCGTATTGGTATGTGTTTATTGGCCCTTTCTCGGGAATGAATTGGAATCCAGGAGCTTTTAAGTGGAGTTGGAATGCAAAGAAGTTTGGTTAACGGATTCTTCCTTGGGGGAAAATGATACAGAGCTTCAATTCGTAAGTGATTTATGTTTTTTCTATGTTGAAGTACGAATATATGATTTGAAATAAAAGGGCTTTTCGGTATCTGTATACGAAATTTTGGGGGGTTCAAGTATATATTAAAAGTAGAAAAAGCTTCGCATTCGATACAAATGCTAATGCAATTGCCAATGTAATAGATCTCTGGTCTCTACATCTGTTCTATCATACACCCTTGGCCTGAGGCATGCACTCGATGCGGATCATATCTCGGTATGTTAAATTATCGTGCAATGAAGTACCTAACCCGGCATACCTATATATATATATATATATATACATTCAATTCTCCGCCCTTTAACAAATCTACAGGCCATCGACCTCATGACTCGACGTCTTCTGGCAACGGGACAACGGCCAGTCACTGTCGGGACGTATTTCTCCCTAGGGCATTCAACGTAAGTCCAATTACCTTTCTCTCACCTTGAGCAATTTATTCGATTTTCTCTCTATTTTGTATAGTGCAATTTTAACCTCCCCTATATGCAGCGTTGTAATAATCACATCCATTGTTGTCGCGGGAACCGCTGCGGCTGTCTCTTCCAAATTCGACAAGTATAGCAAAGTCGGCAGCATTATCGGTAGTTCAGTCAGTTCTGCCTTCTTGATACTGCTCGGTATCATGAATGCGTATATTTTGTATAAGCTCGTGCAGCAGATGAAGAAAGTACTAAATTTGAAACAAGGCGAGGAGGATGAGATGTGGAAGATTGAGGGAGGCGGTGTTTTGTTCAGGGTGTTGAAGCAGATGTTTAAGATTATTGATCGGTAGGTTTTGAACGTCTCCTTGCTGATAATTCGTCTAAGGACGGCGTTTCTGGATGCTTTCCTGGAAGGAATTTTTGTTCTTTCTCCCCTTCTTCAATGTTATACGTAAACTGATTTGCAATCAACAGACCATGGAAAATGTACCCTCTGGGAGTGCTCTTCGGCCTGGGCTTCGATACCTCATCTGAAATTGCGCTCTTAGGAATCGCTTCTATTCAAGGCGCGCGCGGGACGAGTATATGGCTGATTCTCATCTTCCCAATTCTTTTCACTGGCAAGTTCACTTTTTCTCATGGTCATTTGCCAACCAGTTGATGGAATGCGTGAGCTGAAACATACTGCCCGATACAGCCGGAATGTGCCTCATAGACACCATGGACGGCGCATTAATTCTATCCCTGTACATCCAACCAGCAAAAAACTTTCTCCAACCAAAACTCTCGCTCCCTTCTTCCCCGTTACAGCAAGCAGAGGACACCACGACCACGGCCACGACGGAGTGGACAGGAACCCGGCCAACCCGTAACCCACGCAACCCAATTGCTTTCCTCTACTACTCCATTGTTTTAACCTGCCTCACCGTGATCGTGGCCCTAGTGATCGGCATTCTTCAATTGCTCACATTAATCCTCAACAGCACAGAGGCAAAGGGGAGATTCTGGGATGGCGTGGAGACTGCGGGTGAGTATTATGATGTCATTGGCGGATCGATATGTGCGTGCTTTGTTTTGTTCGGCGGATTAAGTGTAGTGGTGTACCCGTATTGGAGGAGATGGATTGCGCAGCGGAGAGTGGAAGAGGAGGGAAGAGGAGGAGATGGGCCAGATGGGGTAGATGGACTGCTGGAACAAGGGAGAGGCGATGATGGTAGATCTGAGATAAGATACGAGGGTTCTGCAGCTCATTGTGCATGCCGGGAAGGACGGCTGAAGGGGAGTGAAAGGGATGATAGTAAAGGGGTAAGGGTATCAGTGGAAGCGGAGCAACTGGGATGAATTTTCATTCAGGATTGAGAGATGAGGGTGACGGAAAGATGAACATGGAAAGGTATTATATACGTGTGTATTAACACATATCACAGAAATTGGTAGATGTCTTTCCTTAGAGACGGTTTGTACGTTTTTAATGTTAAGACTGCAGAAATGTTGACTCCTTTCACGGCATCTTACTGTCTGCCTGGTGCCGAAACCGCCCTTCTGGAATGTAGCGTTTTGCATGCAACTTAGTGGTCTATATAGTCTGTCTCCTGTGACTTCAAGCTTGGTGAGCTGCTTGTAGTGAACTAGTTATCCTGAGCATCTTACGCAAACACCACCATAGCTGTGGTTGGTGGGAACAGCGGAATCGACCCCTCTTTTCTCCACAACAATACCGCAAAATGCATGAATGGGAGGGTAACTAGTTGTAATATCTAGAATCTCCAACAATTTTTTAACCCCCCGATGAAAAACAACGGATCTGAGGCACTGACGTCATTAACTAGTTAGTTCCCCCAAAGAAATAATGTGCTTATGTCATCATCGTAAGAGTCGAGAAAGTCGACTGCCTTTGACATTAATTGGTCCAACTTATTTGTCGAAGCCGCAATTAAGTCGGCTGGGATGGTGGTTTGGGTCGATGCGTTCGCTGCTCGCCATCCGCGACCTTTGGGACCCGGAAATGACGGAGCTACTGCTGCTGCTGCTGCTGCTGCGAAACATATGCCCATCTTGAGGCATCGGGTTGTATATATTCCCCCCTTTCAGATAAGCAGCTGATCCTGCTAATGAATGGATCTAATATCCAAGGCATATAACTCATATAGCTATCCTGATCTGTTTCTCTCTATTTCTCATACGTATATATTGTCCCCATCCCGTCCCTCTCATCGTTCAGCACTGCATACTCCCATCCTGCTCTATGCAGAGCAAACCCTCTGGGCAAACGAATGGAAAATCCGGCAAAACTGCAAATGCGTAGGCAAGACCGTATCTAACGAGTGATGGCAAATACTGAACCACGATCTACATCATCGAGCTCTTTGTCTAGAACAACTAAACTCGACAACCTTCCTTCTATATTTGTATTGCCCACTCATTTGAGTCTGGACGAGTTGCACGTCATTGAGGAAACGCTAGAAAGATGCGGCGCCCCACTTACCTATGATATCTCAGAGGCCAAGCTGGCCTTGGGCAAGGTGTCGCAGAAGAGACGTGCTGTGTTTGAGCTTCAATCTAGAGGCCTCTGGACGGAGATAATTTCTCCATCAACTGATGCTGTCGGTACCTCGGGTGAAAGCCGAGCAATAAAACGGCGACGAGTTGAAGGTGCTAAACCGGATGCATATGTACAGCCAGCCCAAGAACATACTTTTAGCGATCTAAATTTGGAGTCAGGGGAGGGGAATACGGTTATCAATGAAGAAGGAAAAACATCCCTTAAGAGGGAGCTTGGCCCTTCGATGGCACAACCTGCTGGTCTGCACATGCCAGAATTGGAAGATGAGGTTATAGTTCTGAAGCTCTCGTGGCTCGATGAGTCTTTGAAAGCAGGGAGAGCTGTTCCGTTGGCACCTTATATCGTTTATCATGCACGCAAGATTGCCCCGCCAGACAATATGTCATTCCCAGAAACCGTTTCCAACCCTGCTTCTGAGCCGGCTACCCCGCGGTCTACTTCGAAGCAAAGGGAGAGTTCTTCAAAAGGAATATTGGAACGGGCTATGGCAGACGCAGCATCCTCATCCCCAACTCCTATCAAGTCTCGTCTGGCCAGAAGAGCTGACAATGGGCCTCCTATTCAAAAGCCCCCTCCCAAGCTTGTCCGTGAGACTACTGAAGAACATGAAGCTGCTGAGGCCCCTCCACGAACCCCCGATTGGGTGCGGAACAATCTCATATATGCCTGCCAAAGATCTGCCTTTCTGCACCCTCCCAACGAAGCGTTTATAAATCAGCTTGACAAGATCAAAAAGATAAGAGAACTAACTCTCGATGAAATTGGAGTTCGCGCGTATAGCACGGCCATCGCCTCCATCGCAGCATACCCATACCCTCTCAAATCTGCTACAGAAGTCTCCTCACTTCCTGGCTGCGAAGTCAAAATCGCCACGCTTTTCTCAGAATTCAACCAAAGCAGTGATGGCACACTTGAGTCGGCCAACCAGCTGGATACAGACCCGGTCCTCAGCGTCCTCAACAAATTCAGCAATATCTGGGGCGTCGGTGCCAAAACAGCCCGCGAATTCTACTACCAACATCACTGGCGAACCATCGACGACATCATCGAACAAGGCTGGAATAGCCTGTCCCGCGTCCAGCAAATTGGAATAAAATACTTTGACGAATTTATGGATGGCATACCACGCAGCGAGGTTGAGTCCATCGCAGACACTGTCCTACGGCACGCCAAACTCGTCCGTCCCGAGTCGCAAGAAGATTACAAGGGTGCGGCCATTGAGGGCATCATCGTGGGCGGCTACCGACGCGGCAAGGAGCGCTGTGGCGACGTAGATCTAATCCTCACCCACCGCAACGAAAGAGTGACACACAACCTCGTCTATGACGTCGTTGTCAGCCTCGAGCAGGAAGGATGGATCACCCATACGCTCGCCTTACATCTCACTAACTCACATCGGGAACAACAGACGCTCCCTTTCCGCGGGGACACGAGTGGTATGCCACGTTTCGATACCCTAGATAAGGCCCTTGTCGTCTGGCAGGACCCGCACTTCGAAAAAGATGGGAGCGGCGATGTGGATGAGGCACCTAGCAATCGAAATCCGAACCCGCACCGCCGTGTGGACATAATCATCTCACCCTGGCGTACCATCGGTTGCGCCATCGTTGGATGGACTGGTGGCACGACGTTTGAGCGTGACTTGCGCCGCTATGCGAAGAAGGTGCATAATTGGAAGTTCGATTCGAGTGGAGTGCGGTCACGCAGTAAAGGGGGCCAGGTTATTGATTTAGAGGGCAAGGGGAAAACGTGGCAAGAGAGGGAGAGGTTTGTTTTGGAGGGAATGGGGGTGGGGTGGAGACCACCAGAGGAGAGATGCACAAGATGATGGTAAATGTGATGGCTCATTGTCTTATAATGGCCAAATTGTTGGTGGGGTTTCTCTCTGTGCTATTGAGTGGCTAGTTCATGACTTTTTGTTATCTATTTCCCCCCTTGTCTTCCTTTACTTTTCATCCACTTTTGTGTTTCATTTCAATAGTATCAAATTGGGCGAAGCGAGTTCATTGAATGATTAGGAACATCATACGGATAGATATATTACCAGGACTTTACTATTACCGACACTAAAAACAAATTCCATATGTAAAAAAGATGTAATAATATGGCAAGAGAATGCGCGGCTCAAAAGAATCATTATTTACAGATGGTTAAAGGTGAAGGAGGCAAGAAAGTAATAAAGGCAAGACAAAAACGTTCAGATAAGTAGATTTTATGCCACAAAAAAGGAATCAAAACTGATGTGCCGCAAGAGATGACCTCTGAAGCTATAAAAACAATTAGAACAAAGAAAGAAAAACTGAAAGAGGATGGATGGTGATGAAGAGCAGAAGAGAAAAAAGGGGGACTTCAAATAAAAACACAAAAATGTAACTGACAAGGGGGAAATAAAACGCCAAAGGCAGGATGCTGACACATTAGTTATTAGTTACCTCAATGCCCACAAACGCATATGCAAAGAAAGGGGAAATGTCAAACAAAAAAAGCACCTGTCAACAGAGGATCAAAAATTAAACATCAAACACCAGGAAAAACAATAATCATACAACAGGCCTCGAGCTCGCCATCTCCCCATACCTCCCTCGAGACCTAGTGGTATCATAAGCATTAACAACGCGCATCTGTCCCCCCTCGTCTGCCTGACTAAACGCATATCCCCTTTGTTTCCGATTCCGCTGCACCTGGCGCACTTTACGAATCGCTTTCTGAAACTGCTCCATACGCGGTCTGTAGTCTTGCACGTTATATTTTTGTATTTCCTGCACGTGGTGATACGCCTGTGGAAAATACATGCGCTTCATGTACTTCCAGGCGAAATCGCGCACGAGGCAGACGGCCGGTAGCACGATGGCCATGAGCCAGAAAACAGGAGACTGGAAGAGGTTAGGGATAATACCTAGGTATTCTGTCGAGAAGCCGGAGCCGATGTTAGGGGCTGTGAAGCCGTAGATAGGTAGGAAGACCATCCAGATTATCATCGATCCCGGGATGGCAAGGACTGTGTATTTGGTCCAAATGTTGGTGACTAGGGCAGCTTTTCCGAGTACTGTGGCGAGGACAGCTGTGTACAGTGCAGTGCCCCAGAACCAATGGCCAGCAATTTTGCCGTTTGAGAGAGGAAGATCATAGAGGAAGATTGCCTGTGAAAGGAAGTAGGCGAGAAGAGAGTGATAGAAGCCATTGCCGATCCAAGACCAGAAGCTATGCATTTTGAAAAAGACACCTTTCTGGCCAAGTTGGTATAGTTGCGGATATCTGTCGAGAAGTCGGGCGGAGATGAACTGGTCGAAAATGCCCATGGCAAATGGAGGAAGGACGGTAAAAAAGACGTTATAAAATGACAGAGTCCATGATTCGTAAATAACTTGGCCGGAAAATGAATTTTGAAATGAGTACTGTCATGCGAGCATGTTAGTTAAGGCTACAAATTCTTCAAAGAGGTAGAAACGTTGGTGAAGCAACATACCCAGAATTGAGTCATATACAAGGCAATATTTTTGTAGAATGAATACAGAATGACTTTGCTAATGCGTTGATAACTCCAAGCGCCATGGACAAGAAGCAATTTTCGAAGAAAGCGGAACTGAGCAATTGATACATCGGCGCTTCGGGCAGCTTGGAGACCTTCAACTCCACTAATACCGACACCCACATGGGCGGCCTGGATCATGGAAACATCGTTTGCGCCGTCGCCAATGGCAAGGAGCAAAGCTTTCAGATGGCGTTTGACAAGCTTGACAACAAGTGCTTTCTGCAGCGGAGATACACGGCTAGTTGCGGAGTTAGTCTAGTGGCAACTGAGGTGACAACCACCCACAGAAGCAAGGGGGTTAATACATACCAACAAATGACAGCTTTGCACATAACAGCCAAGTCCAAAAACAACTTCTCCATATCCTTTTCCAGAGCATATGTAAGAGATTTGCCGTCAATGATCAAGGCTAATGTCTCCCTATCTGGGGAACTAGCCTGGCTTTGAACTTGCTGCAGCTTTTTGGCAAGGTTCTCTCTTGTCCCCTGCGCAGATTCTTCGTTGACAATCAGCAAGGCCATGTCTTCTGATATCAACTTGCAACTCATACCGATGTTAATTGCGGTTTCTTGTCTGTCACCAGTCAAAACCCAGATTTTAATGCCGGCAGTTTGCAGGGTATGGATTGTATCTGGAACCCCATCTTGAAGCCTGTCTTCAATGGCTGTGGCACCGAGAAGATAAAAATCCTTCTCGATGATCTCTGCGGCCTTGTCAAGTTCCTCCGCTCTGTTTCCACTAACAGTTGTCGCGGCTTTATCGAATATTTGATACCATTTTTGGAATTCGTCTTCAGGCACCTCTCTCATTGCGAGACACAGCGTCCGGAGACCTTCGGAAGCGTACTCCTCAAGATGTTGAAGAGTGATATCGACAATAGGATTATCCTCATGCAGACGTTCCAGGATCACAGTATCAGCTCCCTTGCAGTAAATCCTAATTTTGCCGTCTGGACACCTGAAAATGGTGGACATGCGTTTTCTCGTTGAGTTGAATTCGCAGACGGCGAGCAGCTCGAATTCTTGCTCTTCACCGTTGGCGGAGATGATAACGGACTTGGGCCGTCTGTTGGTAAACCGATAACCCAACATGACTGCGCCTTCAACTAGCGCTCCTTCATCGGGCGAGGCGGCTTGATATTTAATATCATCGGGTTTTTCATCTTTCCTCTCAGGAATGACAGTGTGGCAAGTAGCGAGAAGAGTAAGGAAATGGTGGATTGCCGTTCGGGTGGGATGTGACTTTAGATTTTGGCTCAGCTGTTTAAAATCATACATCCCAGTATCAGAATCATCACCATCCATCGCTCTTCTGTCTTCTGGAACAACTTCAGCATATTGAATGCCGCCAATAGAGCATTGCTTAAACTCCATCATGTTGCATGTCAATGTGCCCGTTTTGTCCGAGAAAATATATTCAATTTGGCCTAGCTCTTCGACCAAGGAAGAGGTGCGGCACGTGGCGGGTGTATCGGTTGTGTCATAATAAATATCTAGATCGGAATTTATGAGGAAGGCATGACAATACTTGACGATTTCAATGGTAACAAAGAGAGATATAGGGACGAGGTTAGAGTAGAGGACCCAATATGTGAAAATATCGGAGAAGAACTGTTGAGCCGCATTGACATTTCCGTAATATAGGTAGGTGAGTCGACTTGTGGATTTTATGCGAACGACCAAGTCTCCGATTGAGCTGATCAAGCTGAGACTAACCAGGATGGCGACAAGCATGAGAATTTGCATGTTAACCATGCGCTCGACGGCAGTTCGTTTGATGGGTGTTGCTGTCGCATTCCTCATCAACTTTGTTTCGTGACCAGTAAAAACAACCATGCCATGAATCCAATGAGTATTACGCAAAGTAGCACCACGGAGGAGGAGCTGGTCGGGAGCAAGGGGGAACTCCTTCTCTCCACCGCCTGACTGCAGCGTCACGGTAGCCTCGTACGTATAAAGACTGGAATTTGGTTGTTCAGATTTGACTTTTCCCGTAAGCCTACTGAGTTGACTGGGGCTGACAAGATCGGCCGTTTCTGGAATGGCTTGTTTAATTTTAAGATTCGTTTCGCCATCTAAGTTCGCGGTTTCGATATAGCAGAGACCTTCTGGTTCGGAGCTTGCTAACAGGACCAGGTCCGCAGGGAAAGGCTCCTCAGATTCGACTCTAACGATATCGCCTACTGCTATGTCGACCCATTTCGTAGCCTCAAAAGTCGAGCCCTTAAGAACCTGCGCCCTCGAGTAGTTGAGGCCTTTGTCTGATGATTTTCGCTTCAAATCTTCAATCAGCTCCTTTATAGCTGACACTAATAGCACGATAATGAGAGGGGCAATGGTAGTATATCTATTAGTCGGGGAGATGTTTGGAATTTGCTGGAGGACGGCGGTAAACAAGAAAAATAAGTTTGCGTATTTGGAGAACTGTTCGAATAAGAATTTCGGGAGAAAGGTAAAGACGTTGTACTTTGCAGTTGATATATGGTTATCCACATATTTATTTGCAGCATTAGCCGGTGAGTTGTTAAACATAATGATGCGGGGGCCCAATGTCGACGGATCAATCTTGCGTCTCCCGAATCCAAACTTGAAATCCCCAGCCCTGAATTTCTTCTTGGGCTTGGAAGTTGTAATGTCATCTTCTGTTCCTGCAGTGTCGACTGTCGTTGCTCTGGCTCCCGTTTCCGTTAAGGGTAAGTCCATTTCTGAATACTCAGGCCCCATGCCTAACATATATTTTGCTCTCCCCACCAAGCTGCCGCCCAGGCTCATTATGCTATTCCGATCCCTTGCCCGAGAATCTCTCAAAGGAACAGCACCGCGCAGGTTACTTTGGTCATTATAGTAACCTTGGGCTGACCGCACATCATCAAAATCGTTCAAGTCATCTGAATATCGCTGGTAGTTGTGCAAATCTGAGGTCTGAGAATAGTTTCGATTGGCTTCACCCTCACCGTAGAAGTGGCTTGCTCCGGGTGGAGCCTGGAGACAGGCTTGGACACCTCCCGCTGCATGGTGCGCTCCAGCAGCCTGTGCCGGATGCCCACCCCCAACAAACGCATCATACGATACTGACGTTCTTGGTTGGGGTTCGTCGGAATCGTCGATATTGTATTGTTCTAGGAGATGGTCATCTGTAACGGGAGGGCGCTGACCGGAGTTATACACGGAGGGCGTGCGTTCGATGTGGACGAAATCATCATCGCTTCCTGGGGACGGATGATGCCCCGGCGGCCTTGCACTTGTCATGTTGCGGAAAGAGATGGCAAAATCACTGTGAAATAGATGCGATTTGGTGGTAGCGAAGCATTGGATGGTGGCTAGTGGAAAAGGAGATTGGCGTCAAGCCTGGATTGTAAGCCTCCAGGCAAACAAGTAAGAGTTGTATGCTATGCGTTTATTCTACAAAGTTTGATTTCCCCAAAAGCGCAAGATAGAAAAATCATTAGTATATGCCATATCGTATCAAAAGGATGTTCTCGTTAAAGCGTTGTCGTTAATCGGCCAGCGATCTGTCGCAGTGGGACGTTTTGTAAGTCGCCAGTGAGGCTCAGCCGGTTTTGCACTGACCCAGCCGTTACTGTACAGTATAATACAGGACGGTATATCTCATGTCCAACTGTATATGTATGTTCGGTACTAACTCTAAATTTGTATTACTAGTACCGTATGGTAAGCATCCAATCAGAGCCTATTTACTTTGATTTTGGTATAGATATACGGTAATGAATACAATACACATTTACAAGCTTCTTGCTCTTTGTGCCAACAGAGCAATAACTTAATAAGGGTACGGAGTATAGTTTTCTACAACGACAAAATATCAGATTCCATGCAAAAGTGACAAGAGAGATATTGTGAATTCCAAGGTTGGCAAAACGGATTCGAAGGATAGTTAGCTGTTTTGTCAAGGTTCAATTTCTTTACACAATTTCAAACTCACTCCACTAGCCCCACTCAGTATTTGGATAAACCCCATTAAATTTTGTTTCAAAAATACTTCAAATGTTCAAAGGACAACTGAATAATGAGGATGGCAGAGACTTGGACAAGAGACAATCTTATTTTCACCTAGTTGATCTTATATTCAAGGAATTGTACTCCCTTCTTCAGAGCTTGCTAAAGTAACTTCTAGCCATCTGATCTGGTAATTTAGTAATACTACCCTCATCTTCAATACTAAAATGAACTGCTTAAGGCTTTAATTTAAGAATGCAACCATATTTGTCATGGCTCAGTCAAGAGTCAAGATGACAAGATAAAGCTTCAATTCACCTTTTTAACTAGGTAGCCTGCAATGAGAATACTAAACTGAAGATTAAAATGTGAAATGAAAAAGTGACTGAATGTAAAAAAAGATTAAGAATCAGAGTAAGTCAATCTTAATTCATATTACAAGTACCTATGCTATAACAGTATTAGGGCTTCAAGTCTGCATGTTTTAAATGCTGAGAAACTAGACAAATTGTCATGGCTTGATCTAGAGGCATGATAGTAATAAGATAAAAGCTCAATTCATCTATCTACTAGGTAGCTGCAACGAGAATACTAAACTGAGGATTAAGATATAAGAATGAACGAGCAGCCGGATATATGTAGGCGGTTGAGGATTGGAGCGGATCAACCTTATCTCATATTGCGCTGTAATACAGATTATGAGTATTACTTAATAAATAAAAATATTATTTAAAAAAATTATATTGATAATTATAATAATTATAATAAAAAAAAAAGTATTAAATATTAGAATTATTTTTTATTAATAATATATTATAATTATATTTTAATATTTTTATTTTAATATTTTTTAATTTTATAAATATAAACTATTATTATTTTTATAAAAAAAAAATAATTATAATAATAAATAATATATAAATTTATTTAAATAATTATATTAATAATATAAATTAATATTATAAATAGATAAATAAATTAAATAAATATTTTTATTTTAAAAATTAATAAAATTATATTATTAAATTTTACTATAATTGTAAAAATTATATATTTTTTTATTTAAAATAAGGTTTTATATCTTTAAATATATATATATATATATAAAATAATGCTAGTATATCATCAATTATGAAAGTATTTTAAGTATATTTTTCAGAGATAACACTGAATAAAAGGAAGAAAATACACTGTAAATCTGTGTAATTAAATGAATTTAGTTTTGCTCAATTGAAGCTTGAACATGTTTGCATTCATTTCTGAATTACATCATAAGCAGGCAGCGCAGATTTCAAAGCATGAAGGCGCATATTTTTATAGAGAGCTTCTTAATAAATGTGTGTTCATTGACTGAGATAACAGCTTCCTTCAGCATACTCAGACGCTTCTACAATATTTCATGAGTATAAAAGGGTTCTCTGACACCTAGGAAGGATTGATCCTTCCTCTAAATTTAAATCCTTTGACTAAAGCTTTGAAGAATCGAGATTCTTAACAGGTAACTAACTTAAAGTTAGTTAACTAATTAGTTAGTCGGATGTTAATGAATATGACTAATCAGCTTTTCTTGGCATAGTTTCATCTAAACAGTCAAAGAGTGATTCTTCCTGGTCCTTGCATACAACCTTCAAACCTCATGCACAGAACACTCAGGAGAATCATCTAAAGTTATTACACATCATATTATTTTATTTGCACTTCTTGTCAGTTTTATCGTTGTCGCAAGGCCCCAAATGACCACAGGTATGAACAACTTTCACATTTAAACAAAACTCTTTTTCACTAACCCTTGGCCAGCTCATAGACCAACCTTTGACCCCGTAAGCTCCCACCAGCGACAATCGCATAAGCACGAGAAGCTCACATTTAAAATAGGCCCGTGGAAAAGAGGCACTGAGAGGCCCTGCTTATCACCAACGTCTCCTCCCTGCGCATACATTCCTGAAGACCAGGTATGAACCTCCAGCACTTTCAGCCCTCCGGATCCCTCCAAACATCTCTAACATCCCTATCCAAATAGAAAACCCGGTCAAGGTGGCGACGCGGATGAAAAACGCGATTTGAGAGCTGAACTTTTGAAAGCTGAAGCCGCCTACTTTGCCAAGAAGGGTATTTCCCAGAATACATCTGCCTCGTCGCCATCGACAGCGGCGATCGAACCGTCCGTACCGAAACGCCAACTTGAAAATGGTCCTGGCGAAGAGGATACTGGAGAAATAGAGAATCCGGAAGCTAAGAGGAGGCGTATATTGGAAGAGACTCGAGATATAGATGCAGATTCAGATGAGTCGGAGAGCGATAGTAGTGAGAACAGGTGAGTTGCACTCCATTGCTGTGTGATATAGGTTCTGGTGCTGAATGGGAAATAGTGATGACGATGAAGATGAGACTGCGGAATTAATGCGGGAGCTGGAAAAAATTAAGAAGGAACGATCTGAACAGAAGGCAAAAGAGGTATGCATTTATTTACCGTGATGAAGATGGCAGATATAATTACTGACATGGGCCATTGCAGGAACAAGAACGTGAAGCGCAAGAGCGGGAGAAGCGTGAGGTGGATATTGCACGTGGAAATCCATTGCTTAACCCGCAAGATTTCAATGTCAAGCGGCGATGGGATGACGATGTTGTTTTCAGAAACCAGGCGCGGGCTACGGAGAATAGGGGGAAGAAGGAATTTGTTAATGTACGATTGCATTCTCACTTCATGATTAGGCGATGCAGGGAGCAAGTGTTAACCGTATTATTTTATCTAGGATTTGTTACGTTCTGATTTCCACAAACGTTTCATGGTATGATTTACTCTGGTGCCTCACCCTGTTGACATGTGTGGCTAACGGTGGTCCTTTAGTCTAAATACGTGAGGTAATCTGGATTTTCCACAGGATATTGAAATACGCCATGGTGTTCAAAATATTATATACAAAGCACCTCAACCCCTCTCCCTTCCCCGTTTTCCCCTTTTTCCCCGGGGTAAAGAGGGAATATGTTACTCTTAGTGGGTTATCCAGTCCACAGCGGCAAATATTCGACGCAGAGCGGACAATGCGGGCTGTTCCGTAGCCAGTTGGCCAGCATGTTGCGTAGTCCTGCTTCACGGAGGGGATCATATCGAGAGTGTATGGGTCTCAGAAGCAAGAGTAAAATGTTGTGGATATGCCCTCTATGATGTGCCAAAAATCTTTTCCCGTATTTTCTTTCCTTTTCCTTACCATCCTCTTCTAAATAGAAGCTTCCATCTGCAGGGGCTTGAAAGCCGTGTCCGCATTGTCAGCGAACTTTAAATCTCGAATATGTACTTTCCATTACCGGCTCGGTACCTGGGTGCATATATACCTAAGGTATCTGCCAGAAACGCCTACCTAGTTTAATGATGAAGCCTGTGCTTTACACAAATTACACGAGGTTACCTACAGATATGCTTCCTCAATTCTCACCGGCGGTTATGCACTGTTTATATTATTGCTGTGCTGTACTATCCTTCTGGACAACACGACTTGAAGCCCGACGACATGCGAGGGCCACTTTTACATCTCAAAATAAACATCTCGAGATTATTTTCGAACGTTGGGTATCGAAATGTCTCATCAAGAGTACACCCTTAATGCAAGTTCTTTGGCGAGTTCTCGCCTTCCGAGCTTAAGACCCTTGAACGTAAAGCCGGTAGAACCCAACCAAACCAACTTGCCCAAGCCGCGTCGTATCTCGGACAAGCATTAAGTGGCAAGAAAACAGCTTGATTCGGTGGATGGGCACTCAAGCTTCGAGGTTCTCGTCGAGAGACCCACGACCTCGACTTTCTAGTCTCCGCGGACGCTATGTTTGAAATTAGGGGTGTTTTGAAGTGGTATTATTGGAATGCCCTATAACCCCAAGGACCCTGCTAGTTATGCTTAAACCCTAAATAGGGCAATATTGCCATCTTGTGCGACTCCCGGTGAGCCTCATATGAGAATGTTCGTTGATATCGGAGAGGGTCGTGCTGGTAAGCAGGCTCCTATGGGAATTTCCTGCCATTCTTGCTACATGTCCGGAGTACACTTACAACCGTCGTACAGGTACTCTGGGTACCCCTGGCCTCCGCGAGCCGGAATCTTACGAATCAATTGCACCGTCTTTCCCAACACCACGGGTCGAGCAAGTGGATGTTATCCATATTACATGGCAGGTCGAGACAAAACTTGCCACCTGGTTTTCAGGGAGGAAGAACTCAGACTTTGAGGATCTAAAGTTCCTGTTAGTCAAATATGCTGCTGAAATTGCGGGATAAAGCCAATTCATAGACAAGAACATGCAAGAGATCTTTTATGCAGTTTATGAGATGGCGACAGTGATTAAGACACAGGGCGAGGAGATAAAGAGAACGCTCTTCCTTGTAATGATAGTTATTCTCCTGTCTTAATTTTATTCTTTTCAATTACCCTTATCATATCCCCGCTTAAAAATAGAGATACGCCGTATGTATTTACTGGACAAGTTTTCAGCGAACTCTTCATGTCTTGGATATTTGTAATGTTGCAGCAAGGAACAAAGCCAGGAAACGACTCTCACTCCCCTTAAAAAGCTCTCCATAGGGCAACAACAAACCGATTTTATGACATGTCGGACAACTCCATCCAGGGATCCGGGGATTCTGTCAGGAGATACTGTGTTACAAAGATTTCCTTGGGTTTTGTCTAGTCCAACCTGTTCTCCTTGGTGCGTACCAACTCCTGCCACGTCCTGTTTGCTCCTACGCCCTTCTCGGGCAAACGCAGCGTGAGCCCACTTCCCACCAAACTCCAGTCCTCTCTTATTCTTTTCCCTGGCCCATTCTACATCATTAGTCCCCTCGAGGCCGAGGTGTTTCTCCCGCCATTCCTCTGAAACGTTGGTACCATCTATAACATCGCAGAGTTGGAGCAGGTTGTAGGTGTCCAGGCAGCTTTGAATGAAGACTTCCAGCTTGGGATATGGCAAGCCTCTGGGGCTACGTGTGAAGTCTGAAGGGTCGTAATCAATGTGCACATCGATCGAAGGGATAAGGAAGAAGAGGTGATTAATCACTTTGCTTTTATATCGATGGTAACTAGGTGTGGATTAGCGACTGCGGACAATAATAGGGCCATCGCTTAACAAGGCGATACTGTGCCCCGTATGGCCCAGACTGCAAAAGACCCGCTACCTCCTCGACAAGCTCAGTTGGGACAAAAATATCCCAGTCCCATGAATGAAGCGGCTCATGCTAGGGGGGTTAACTATGCATCAGGTGCACGTGCAACATGCACATGTAGAAAAGACGTTGATCTTTAAGAGTTCTCTAGATTAACTACATCACGAAGTCTGCCTGCGCCGTAGGAAACAAATGCAACTATTCCGACCAGGAATACCGTTTTCTTCTAGTATCCGGGTAACCACAAGGCTATCATCAGTGCCATATCTCTATTAGATGCATCTGCGTAGCTGCAGATGGACATGTCTGAATCAACTGATTCATCAGTTTTGTTGTCGCCATTCTGGTCTGCCGACGAAGAAGTCTTCAAAGAAGACAATGGATGTTCCTTTAACCAGCTCACGGCTGCTTGTATTTTGACTTGCTGAAGAGAAGCCAGAAAGGATCTGCTAGGGTACTCAGTCGATTGAGAGGGCGGTCCTCGCGTCGCATCGCATCATAACCAGAAATATAATAACTGCTCACACTGATATATTAGTTAAACTAGTTAGTTTGTTAAAGCTTGGCAGACTAGTTAGTTAATATTTGTGCTAAAGGTTCGTGGCCTTCGCTGAAACTCAAGAATTAACTGATATAATCAATCACTCAACCAATAAATTGGTATTTTTTAATTTCTATTTGTAATTTATAATTCCCTATCTAATTTATATACAATAAAGAAATTAGATTTTAAAAATATTAAATATTGAGCTTATAATACAGGTGTGACAGATTGAACATTAAGGATTATTTTCTTATATAAAACTTAATATGCAAGTTTCAGATTTTCACTAACCGTGCCACGCGTACTCAACTACCTCCCATTAGTAAGTGCGCTGCATCATAGAGGAAATATCATCATAATTGAAATCTCTTTTTCATATATTCATCACCACTCTTCAAAAATTAATAACCGCCATCATCATGCTTAATAATATTAAATATTCAGAAGATCAGATTCAGATGGCATTAAATATTATAAAATCAAATTCAAAATTAAAAATCACAGATGTGGTGTGAGAATTCAAAATTTTATATAGAAATATATATATATATGTTAAAAAAAAGATTAAAAAATATAAGGATTTCAATCAATTGAACATTGAGTAACAGTCAGAAGGAAGTGATCAAAAAGTAGATTCATCAATTGAATAGAAACTTTTACCTCTCTACAATTGAATATAATGAAGCTGCTATGAATTAAATACTGAGTTGTCATTATATCAATTCTGATACTCCTTCTCCTACTGTGGGCAAGATGTAGGTGTATTGATTCATTAAATATCTGCTAGATTATAAGAGGATCAAATAGAAACCTATAAATTCAAAACAGATATCAAGTGAAAATATAAGCTTCATTATCAACTAGTTTGACTATCATAAGTTTATTTTCAATCAGTATAAGTTTCACATCAGCAACTTTTATAATTTTAACAAGATCAGATTTCAAGAAGAAGAAGAGTATGCATAATGAGTAATAACTATCTATCAAGATATCAATTCTATTTTATAGTCATCATATTCTTGCAGATTAATAATAGTAGTAGAATATATTAGTGCAAATGATATAGTATTAAAGTTATTTAATTATAATGAAATCAAAATATCATAGCTTAATCTAAAGGCATGATGATAATAAAATAAAAGCTCAATTCATCTATCTACTCAGAAGTTGCAATAAGAATACTAAACTAAGGATTAGAATATGAGAATAAATGAGTAGTCTGATATATATAAGTAGTTAGAGATTGAAATAAATCAATTTAAGCAACTAAATATAATTAAAAATCAGAGTAGATCAATAAAAGTAATCATATATGATTGAGGTTAGAATAGATTAATTTTATTTTATATTACCAGTGATAGTGCTGTAACATTATCCTCTGGTTTAAAAAAGTACTTGCTCTCAAGTAGCTATACTAGATACAAGAAAAAAGCAAAAGAAAATTCACTAAACTTATCAGTAGATTAATCACCTTAGCTATTATTTACCAGATTCTTATATATCTTCTTTCATATTTCACTAACATCTAAGTTATCATTATTAGATTCTTAATTAGAGACTGAGATTTCTTTTACAGTTTGACAGTAATAGAGCTTAGAATAATATGAATAAAATTAATAATTTTCAACTCAATAATCATTAGATTTACAATATACATAACAGCTTTCTTAATAATATTTCTTCTGTTGAGAAGATGAAATTGATAAAGCACATGATAAAGATTTATATAAAAAGTTGAAAGCTTTAATCTAATTCAAATTCAGAGAATCAGAGTGATCATAACAAGCTGAATAATCATGGCAAACTGGGTGATCATGATGAGCTAAGTGATCAGTCTGCTGAGTAATATAAGGCAAGAATAAATAGAAAGAATTGAAAGCTAACTGTTAAACAATATATAAAATTTTTTTATAAGTTTGAAATTAATTTAACTGCTGAGTTAAATAGTTATAGATTGATATGCTGAGGCTCTGATATAATTAAAATATCTTTGAAAAATCCAATAACTTCTATACTTTTATCTTATAGAGAATGTATTCAGACTTTGTAATATAAACTGTCAGAAGTTCACTTGTACTCTACTTTAAACTATGTAGTTTATCTTCTATCTTAATTATCTTATTTGAATTATCATATACATGAGATAGTTGATTAAGAAATGAATTATAGTTTCAATCACTTGCCTCTTCAGCTTGAGTTAGCTGAAAAAAAACCATTATTTATATACTTAAATTTAGATTCAAGTAGATATATTAGAACTGGATGATCAGATCTTTAATAGTAGCTTGATCAATATATAGTTTGACTTTAATTAAAAGAAGTCAGATGTCAAATTTCAAAATTTAAATAGTGAATTTTTTAGAGTCTGGTAGTGACTATCATAGCTTCAATCTAGATATAGATAAATAAATATTTGATTGTCAACTAGATAAGCTACATTAATAAAATACTAAGATGATTTCTAAAAGATAGATCTGGGCAAAATCCGTTTTATAGTCTTTAGTATCTTATTTTTAGCTTCTTATCTCAATTCTTAGTATTTTGCTCTTGTCTCTAGTATCTTAACCTTTTTTTTAATATTTTATCTCTGTCTTTAGTGCTATTGCTATGCAGATTCTGTAGAGTAGTTGTAAGATGATTGCTATGTTGATGTTCAGACAAAGTTTGTTTTAGTCTATCTTATCAAATGAACTTTATAAAATTAGTTAATTTTTGAATAAATTCTATTCTAAATGAATTCTATTCTATACTATCACAGTAATAGTTTCAGATAAAATTGAAATTGAAATTGAAAGCTATTTAGAGTTACCTACAAGAGCTGACATTCAATCTTCAACTATTAATTTTGATTACAGAGCTTTTGAATAGCATTCTCAAATTTCTAATAAAGAGCAGCAAGAGAAGCTTCTATGATGAAGATAAAAATAATAAAAAATAAATAAGTAAAAAATAATAAAGAAAGATAAAAATTAATAAAAATTTTAAATACTTAGCATAGTTACAACTACTAAGAAGCTCAATCAGATACAGATATAGATATAAATATAAATATAGATGTGAATATAAGACATGTTTACTTAATTCTTAGAGCTTATAAGAAAGAGAAGTTAGTATTATATTATGATTTAATCTAAAAGCATGATGATAATAAGATAAAAACTTAATTTATTTATCTATTAAATAGCTATAATAAAAATACTAAACTGAGAATTAGAATATAAGAATGAATAAGCAGTCTGATATATATAAATAGTTGAGAATTGAAATAGATCAATCTAAACAATCAAATATAATTGAGAATCAGAGTAAATCAATAAGAGTAATCAAATATAATTAAGATTAGAATAAATTAATCTTATTCTATATTATCAGTAAATAGTATTATAATATAAAAATTCATCTAAAAGATTAATATATATACTTTAATCTGTTTAATTATTATGCTATCACTATATCTGATATTAACTTCACTAATAATAAGATTAAATTTAAATAGATAAAACTTTTTAATACTGTTATTAAAAAATACCAGGTTGATAGTCATTGATTATTACTACTTGATAATCAGATCTCATCTTACTGAAAAGTTTTTTCAATATTACAACTTTCATAACATCATTATGTTTGAATTCTCATCTCATATAAATCATCTACTGCAATCTCTTAGTGATGTATCTTTTCAGCAATATAAGTATTATCATATAAAAGCAGTTAATAAGGCTACTTAATATGAATATAAACAATATGATAGAAGGTAGTTTCTTGCTAATCTAGAGAGTATATATTATTAAATCTTCAAATCTATTATCATCGTAGCTAAATTTACTAAATGTGAAATCTATTCAATCAAACAAGAAGTAATTCTTCAACATCTGAGATAACACAATATAGATGATAGCCTGAAGCTACTTGTCTATAATAATGACAATGAAAAATACTTCAGTTTTACTTCATTTTCTGAGATTTAACCCTTTACTATATCTTCTTAATTGATATTTTCAGATATAGTTATAAAACTATATTATTAAATTGAGACAGCAGATAAGATCATACAAGAGATAAAAAATACTCTGATATCTGATCTGACTCTGCAATTAAATAAAATCTTCAAGAAGAGTCTAATATAAATGAAATTGAATACATACTAAGAAAATGAGTTATCTACTCATTATATAATGAATAGATGCTAAATTGTCAAAAACAGCTGCAGGCAGATGCAGGTAGAGGGTGTCCTCACTATCAAGAATGCCAATTGCAAGATCAAGCATTGTAAGAAGGAGGAATTGATAAAAGAGAGAAATAGAGCCCTATACTTAGTTGGAATCAAAGTCCTCAAATCTAATGTCAACCAACCACAACATGATGTTATTAATAAATCTTAATCTATTGGAGATTCTACACGCTCTAATGAGTATGTAGATAATCTTTATATTATAGATGGGCATGGTGTTGACCATTAATTAATTTTTGAAGATTAGTGATCTAGAATATTTCAATTATGATGATATTTCCTCTATGGTGGGGCACACTCATAAATGGAAGGTAGTGAGTACGCGTGGCACGTGGAACTCGGCCCTACAAGATTACCTAATAGTTTAGCAGTAACATGGAAATAACTTTTGAAAAATATCCAAAAATCTTGTAGAACTTAACTAGTGATCAAACCATCAAACAATCACTGTATGTTACTCTGTATTGCATTTGACCAAATTTCCAACTGCAATGGATCCCCAGCAGCCCACATCCCGAGCTTTGCAAGGTGAGAGTCCCCTTCTCCCCTAATGTCTATTTCCTCGTGTTTTGCTCCCGATTTCAGCGAACGCACTAGGATGATTATGACGCAGGTTAGTTGCATAGCTAGTCATGCTAAATCTATTACTCAACACTGAAACAGCCCTCATAAACACAAACATCGCACAGCTCCTGCAGCGATTCGAGAATATCATGGCGACTGCGACGGTGAGCTAATTATTTACTATGCCAATAGATGCATATCCTCTGTGCGCAGGATGAGATGGCTCCGACAAGTTTCAGGAATACTAACTGCTTGAATGTGCACAACAGGTTGACAATCCAAGCTACACATCCACAGCCATAGAAACATATCAGCTAGACGTTGAATCTACTGCTCTAGTCCGTGGCCCTGATGTTGATTCTCATCTCTGTCTATTACTGGAACATACCACGCGTTACAACATCCATTTCCCCAAGCCCTCACAACTGCAAAAGGGCTCAATGCTAACCATTACTAATTACCATTGAATAGATCCGCGCAGCTGAAGATATCCTCTCATTAACGCACATGATGAAAGAGACGTGGCTCTTTGGGAAGTTGAATACCTTAGGCGAAGATGAGAGGGATGTGCAGAGAAGGGAGGGATTGGAGAGAAATGCACAGATAGTCAAGAGCACTATTGAAAAGAGAGGCATTTTAAAGATGGAATAGGTGGAATGATCACATTCATTCCAGATCCCCCCCCCCCCCTCATCTTCTATTGATATGAACTGGATATCTATTCATGGATAGGCCGTTGTTCTGGTTGAATGGGAGTTTGAAAGAGCGTTTTCATTTGATTGGTAAACAGGATTGGGCGTCCGGCAATATGGGATTCTCTAGAACATGTTTTATTTTTTAATCTTTATCCGAGTTAACTACTTTAGGTCGGAGATACTCTCGGATGTGTTTTTTCTCCCTCCAACCCTCTCCAATGTTGTGAACAAATAGTGACAGACCCATCACTCACGTGCCCTGTTTTCCACTGTAAAGTCGCTCTCGTAGTTAGCAACCTTTGAAATAATCAAGCTTGTCATTCTGTCAGGTTATAAGACCGTTTTTGCGCCCAAACGCAGTCAATTCAGAAGTTATCTTGTTGAAATTAGTGACTGCTTATTTCATTTGATCTATATCTTTTTATTTGAAATAGAAGACCTACACTTTATATTTGACAGAGCTTCTGAATCAGTTGATAACATGTAAAGGAAATAAAATATTATAGAATATTCTGACTTACAAATCACTCCAAGAAGATATATATTTTTATGAGATTTTTTTTAGAATAGAAAAGTTCTTCTAGAAGCACTTTTATATTTATATTTTGACCTTTTAATTAATCAACTCAATAACAAAAGTAGCTGATTTAATGAGATTATTTTTTATGATATATTTATAATCTTATATATAAGTTAAATTTAATGAGATTAATTATTTTAAATTAATTCTTTATCTTTTAAAAGTTTATTTTTAAAATTTTATATCTTAATCTTTATATATTTTCAACAATTGTTCTATTTTTTTAATTATATTTATATTTTAATAATTTAACTGAGCAGAGATCTGATATCAATAATTTTAATCATTATTTTTTATAAAAATAAAGCTATAACTAGTAAATAATAAAAAGAAATATAAAGCTTTAAAATTAAAACTTTAAGTAATAAAACTTTAAATAATTTAAATTATTAATTTTTTAATAATTTATAATATAATTTATAAAAGACTATATTTTTTTTCTATTTCTCAAACTTTTTTATATAAATTTTTAAATTTTTTTATATAATTTTTATATAGTTTATTTTTTTACTTAAATTTTTTTATTAAATTTTTTTTATTATTTAAACATATTTGTTACGGCACTATTGCTGATAATATAAAATAAAATTAATTTATTTCAATCTCAATCATATTCAATTACTTAGATTAATTTACTCTGATTTTCAATTATCTATATATATCAAACTGCTCATTCATTCTTATATTTTAATTTTTAATTTAGTATTCTCATCATAGCTATCTAGTAGATATATGAATTGAGCTTTTATATTATTATCATCATGTCTCTAAATTGAGTCATGATAATATTAGTTATTAATTATTTTATTTATTTATTCTCTTTTATTATAAAAGAGAAATAATAATTTAAATTTAAAAAATTAATTTTATTGAAGTTTTATATAAATTAATATAAAATTATTTATAAATAAAAAGATTTTATTAAAATATTAATAATTTCTAATTTTTAATTTCAAAATATTTTTATTTAAAACTTTTATTAAATTTGATTAATTTTTTAATTTTTTAATTTTTATAAAATTTAAATAAAATTTAAAAATACTTTTTTTAAAAAATAAATAATTAATAAAGTTTTTTATAAATAATTTATAATATTTAATTTAATATAATTAAAAGTTAAATATAAAAAATTAAGTTTTAAAAAATAATTTTAATAATTATTAATTGTGTCTCTGTGCATTTATATTTTGTGTGAATGTGTTATAGCATAATAATAAAAACAGTGTAATGATAAAAATATCAACTTCTTCATTAATCAATTTTCAAATATTATTATATCACCATTATTATGATCAATAAGATAGATGATCTTGAAAAATATATTCAGAGTATCATTGAAGTTTATAATGATAATTGAAAACAGAAAATTCTATCTTTGATATGCAAATTTAACATTTCTTATCAACATCTTTAAGCAAGAGTTAATGAAAGAAAAACATACAATACAAAGACTGCACTGAACAAAAAGCTTAGCAAGAGCCAGAAAGATGTATTGAAAGAGTGAATAGCTCATATAAATAGAAATAATTGCTTAGTGATTGCAAAGCAGATTCAAGATAACATGAATCTCATTCTTAAACATCATCATACTGATTCTTCAATCTCTTCATCTGTGGTCAGAAAGATATGAATCTATCAATATATACAAAACTTGAATGAATATAAAAGAGTTAAGCAGAAGATAATGAATTCAAAAAGAATTGCTGTTGAGAATATTAGCTACATCAAGATGTGATTTGACTATTTGAAAATCTTACTTCAAAAGTACATATTTCAAACTAGTAATATCTACAACTTCAATAAGATTGATTTTCAAGAAGATCAAGAACATAGAGAATGGGTTATTACTGCTTTTAAAGACTTTAATTCAGTTATAACTTCATCATATTTTTGAGAATTGATCACTGTGATTGAGTGTGTTTTAGCAGATGATGAGGTAT